GGGTGCTGAGTCAGAGAGCCCTACTCTGTGCCATGCACTGAGTCATGGGGCCCTGCTGTGTGCCGAGCACTGAATCAGAGAGACCTAGTCTGTGCCAGACACTGAGTAGATGCTGCAGGACTGATAGAGGGGACTGAGACTCTGGAGCCTCACAGTCTCTGGAAAGATCACAAGGCAGATAAATTCAATACAGTGCACAATGCCAATCAAGTTCAGTCAATACTGGGAGAGACGTCAGAGGCATGATTAATTGCCAAAGCAGCCGTACAGCCAGCCATTACTGTGAAGGGCACAGAGCAGGGAAAGTCAGAGGTGGAGAAACTAGGCAAAGGTCCATGGGCTGAAGAAAGAGCAAAGTTGGGATCCAACTTTTGCCACCAGTACAGAGTCATGGAGGTGCCTGCTGTGACCTTAAAAGTTGTCTTCCCTTCTCTCCAGAGGCTCCATCTGCAGAAGGAGAGTGTGTACAGAGATCCCTGAGGTCTCTCCCAGCTCAGAGGTGCTGCCCAGGCCAGGAAGGTGCTGAGGCAGAAGTTGACAGTGAAACTGCTCATGGTTGCAACAGGAATGAACCCTGAAACGGCCCCACCAAGGGGCCTGTGCCTAGATAATTGGGCCCTTCATCACTGACCCCAGGGGTGGCAGCCCTCTGGCTGATAATACAGTTATATACCAGATCAGAAATTTTCTACTGACCAAGCCCTGTCCACACTCATGCATCTCACATGTTCTCACAATAACCCCGTCAGATGGGCAGGGCTGTCCTTGCCATCCTGATTTCACAGATGAGGAAATGGAACCAGTAGAAATGGGAAGGGACTTGCCCAGGGTCCCACCGGGAGTTAGAGCCCAGAGCAGAGCACAGGTCTCCTGTTCTCTGGAGGGTGACAGAGGAAAGAAATGAGGAGCTTCTGCTTCTCCAAGTGGGTCCACTTCCCTGCAGCGTCCCCTCCCAGGTGGCTATGGACGCGGCCAATGTGCTACACACCAGCTGGGTACTCATTTCAGGTTCCAGCAGGTGGCCACTTTGATTTGCTGCTAATTCTTTATTTAGAAAAGATTCACCACCCAATTATACCAGGTAACAATAGCTCACAGTCGATAATACAAAACACAAACCCAATAAACATCTATTCTGACCAGGGGACATGGATTTAGATGAGGAAAAACAGAAAAATTACAGCATCAACTTGTCGAGAACAGTGTCTTGTAATTTCCAGTAAATTGGAATCACTGTGAGTCATTTTCCCCACTTGAGTGGCAGGTATATTAATTTCTTGTCGCTTGTCAACTATCAAAAATAAATTGTTTACAAGGGATGGGGGGAAGCTTCAGAGACTCAGTCTGAGGTTCTTACTGACACGAGTTTGTGTGATGTGGATCTGTGCAGAGGTGAGTGCTGGCCCAAACTGATCCCCTTGGCTACCCTCTTATCTACCTATCTGGTCCTTATTCTCATTTGCTTGCCCCCTTCTGCCTCCCAGAAGTCACCCTTGGGAAAGAAGAGGACAGGCTCACCCACAGGGGGACACCCCACTATCAGCTACCATTTGTCACTCACTAGCTACGCTCTGGCACTGAATTAGGTCCGTGATAAGTATTATCTCATTTAATTCTCAGACAACCTTTCAAGATAGGTGTTTCATTCTCCTTTTTGTAGATAAGGAAACTGGGCTCAGAGATGATAAATAACCTAACCAAGGACACACAGCTCATGGCCATGCAGAGGCAAGCCTGGCACCTTGGGCAAAGAACTAAGGGACACTAGCTCTCGGGGCCAACCCAGTGCAGGCTCAGCACCTCAGAAGGAGACACCTCACCAGCCACCCTGTACTCTCACCTCTGAGGAGCAGAGTTTGGGCTTTGGTCCAGGCCTGTCTGTTCTCAAGCCCTTGCTTTTTCTACTGTGGCACATCCTACCCTCACAGAGATCAGCCATGTAGTGGCAGCTGAAAACTTCCAAAGAAGTAAAGCTCTCATCGTGGGACTTCAGCCCTCAGAGGGCTGACGAGGGAGCCAGTCTATCCTGGGACCCCCACAGTAGTCCAGGCAGGCAGCTGCCTGTCCCCACAACTTTAAGCCAGCCTTGCTCCAGGCTGGAAATGTGGGGCAGAGGCCACCACCAAGGGGAATACAAGCCAGCTGCTGCTACCTGGCTGCCAGGCTGTGTCCACTGTGGACTCTGTTGAGCTGACCCAGCCCAGAGGCCGATCTGGTGTTTCACATCAGTTTGCAAGCTTTTCAAACCACTTTTATGCCCAGGAGGGCAGGGCTCCTTGTTGTCCTTTTATTCCTCAGTAGTGAAAGCTGAGGCTCCGAGAAGTTGACCAAGCTGCCTCGGGTCACACAGCCAGCAGAGCAAGGACGAGAACCAGTATAGGACTCAGAACTCAGGCCACTTTCCTTCCCACTCACCACCAAGAACTAGGTCAGAACACAGATGTGACTGGCATGGGGGGGGAGGGGTGGAGAAATAGCAAAGAAGGCTTAGGGAGGGAAAAACAGGGCAGGAACAAATAATTTCTAAAATATAACAATTTAGCTAAATCTGAACACATGGAAGAGTTCAGAATGATTCATAATGCATGCAGATTGATGCAAATGACCATGCAAATGAGGCCAAAGGAATGAGCAGAGTGAAGCTTACCTCTCAGCCACAAGCAGGAGTGGGCAGGACCGGGATTTCACCTCTGAGCAAACCACATCTTCAGGTTGAAGTGACTCTTTCATGCAACCTGACCAAGCCCCAGAAACCTGCAGCCATGAGCAGGACAGACTTGGGACCCATCTGCATTGCTGTACCCAGACCGCAGAGTCTCTGGAGCCACCAGCTCCTGCCTCCTGCCCTACCTGGGCTTCCATTCTCTGAGCTAAACGATTCTACTTCCTCTGGCCTTCCTTTTCTTGGCCTTTTCGTTATCCCTTCCACCTTGCCTGTCTCTAGGAGCTAAGAAGGGAATGCTTGGCTGAGGGTCCAAAGGCAGCAGACCCCACAGCTTCTCAGACCACCCTCGCTGTGTTCCAGAAGCACGTCGGATGGGAAATAGCTTCCACGAGGGGAAGTGTGTGGGTTTGGACCACCGTCCACCACTGACCAGCTGTGTGGCCTGAGATGAGCCATTTAATCCCTCTGGGCTTTAGTTTTCCCATCTGCCCAATGAGATTAATGACACCTGCTGTTTATGGCTATTGGGGATGCTGTATGTATGGGGCGCACACCTTGCCTGGCACACTGGAGGATGCTGGGCAATCAGCCCCTAGGGGCCTCCCCAAACCTACAACCCCCCGCTTCCTGCCCTGCCACCTGCTGTAGTCAGAGGTATCACATAAGCCCTGACTCCTTCCCCTACCTCTTCCTACTTGTCAGAGAGTCCGGCCCATCCTCCAGCTCCACCCCCAGCCCCACCCCCACAACCACCTGCTGCAGCCCTGAGCACCTGAGACCCTTACTTTGCACTGATTGCTCCTTTCTCAGGGCTTGAACCCATCTTCTCCTTTTGCTTAACTACTATGAGGTTTGGAAAAGGCGGCACGATTCTTCTCTCACTAAGGAAGGGGCTGGGGACTCCCAGAAGGCACGTGGGCGGGAAATGGGGTGCCTGATCAGGGACCCCAGAGCCCTACACTTTGTCTCCCCAACTTGGCCACCCTACGATGGAACTTCTCTTCATAAGGAAAACTGTCTTCCCAGTTTCCTTCTGGGACCTTCAAGGGCCCACAGCTGTTGCTGGTGCACACAGCCTCGGGTCATTCCTGACACCCCACAAGCTCCCTTCAGTGCCCAAGCATGGGCCCCAGATTCTGTGTCTGAATTCCACAGAGACCTCAGTCCCTTGCCTGCCACGTTAGCAAACAGCCTGATCTTCACCTCTGGAGACAGCCCTGGGCCCCTCTCGTGCTCAGAACATGGGCTGCTCCTAGAACTGTGGGCAGAGAAGAGGCCGTGTGCACAGGGACACAATGTCCTTGCTTCTGTTCTTAGTTTTTCACAGAGGACTGTGGACCTGAATGAGAACTTGGCAAACCTCCCAAGTCCCTTCACCTGGCAGTCTCCGGGGAGCGTTTGTTAGCTAGGGCGCTGTCTTCAAGATATACCGCTCTTCTGCTATGGTGCAGAAGAGAGGTTTTTTTCCCTATCCATGCTCGACTTCATGGAAACAACCTAAGAGGCAGCAGAAGGGATCTCACGTCCCCACGCTGTTTTTATTTGCATCGTGATGGGTTGTTTGTTGTCGGCACACACTTTGCTCCAGAAGGAGTTGCTGTGGGACAGGAATAAACAGTCTGTGCTCGTAGACACTGCTCTCCTCAGTCATTCCAGGAGCAAACTCCTTGTGTCTAGACCCTGCGGGGAGACTTTAAAACTTTGTGCCACGCCCATGACTGCTACTGTCATCACTAATGATAATGACTCTTCCCGAGTGCTCATTAATGCCAACCACAGTGCTAAGACTACACGTCTCGTTCCTTTGATCAGCATGACATGTGTGGGCTGGGAGGCAAGTTCTCCTGCGATCCCCACTGGGCAGACATGGAACAGGGACGTGAAGTTACTTGTCTGAGGTCACATGAGTTCTTTAACCTGGGACAAGAAGAGAAAGCCATAATGGGGTAATCGTAGGTGCTCGGGAAACCATCACCCCAACACATTAGTCACTAATACAGTCTCGCTTGCCCGTCTCCCCTCTCTTTCTCTCTAGCATTCCCCACTGTCCTTCACCTTCCTAGCTCTGTGACCCAGGCAACTCTCTGTGTCTCTCTAAACTTGACCGCCCTCTCCCAACAGCATCAAGAGGAATACCCTTGCTGGCCTCCCACCATGACAGTGATGTGCTTGGCCCACTGGAAACTGCCGGGTTGGCAGGGAAGGTTCAGTCTTGGCCGGTGGCAGGAGACAACATGCTTTTTATCTCTCATTGCAGTATCTCTGGCTACGGTGCCGCTGGCGGGAAAGGCGGGAAGAACACCATGATGCGGTCCCATGGCGTGTCTGTGCTGGGCCTCTTCAACCTGGAGAAGGATGACACGCTGTACATCCTGGTCGGGCAGCAGGGGGAGGATGCCTGTCCCAGCGTAAGTGTCCAGAGCAGGGGTTTCTCATCCACACTCATGGAGGCCCAGTAGAGGCTTCTTGGAGGCACCAGCACCCAGTACCTCCTTCTGGACAGGCCTTGTTCTCCCTGCAAATGCCCCTCCTTTTCAGGGTCATTTGTGTGCATAAGAAAGCAGTTGGTGGTGGCTATTAGGGTTTCACGTTCCCACAGAGACAAAGGCTGAGTTGTGGTTTTCATGAATGACCCTTAAAACCAACAACTGGATCTTATTTGAATGAGCGAATGATTACTCTTCTCAACAGAAGAGTGAGCTGCAGACCACTTCCTGATCTTTCTGGGTAGAGTGCTGCTGTGCTTAGAAACAGGAAAATCCCAGATTAAGCATTTCTTGTTCAGCTGAAAAATCACAGACTTATAGCCTTATATATGAGGGTATGTGTGTGTGTGTGTGTGTATACAAATGTATTGAAAAAGTTCTAAAAGATACGGGTTATGTCTGGGGAGGGGGTGCTTTATCAATAATGTCTAAAATTGTTACAAAAAGAATACATTTGTATATTATTTGGGGGATTGAAACTAATATATACATATATATATTCAAAGCATAGACTCAACTAGACAACCATGTAGTCTCTTCCCCCATTTTACAGAGAAATAAAACAGAGATCAAAGACTTCAAAGTCACTCACAGGGTGACACAGAGTGGAGACTCTGGGCTCCTGTTTCTACTATGCCTACACTTGCTCAAGCCTTGGTTCCTATGGCCTTTTCCCTTTTTCCACCTGTAGCCCCAGCACTAGACAAGCTTCTACAGCCCCAATGACAGCCTGTCATTCTGTTTCTGACCCCACAGAAGGGTCCAGCAGTGGGAGCTGGGAAAGCCCAGAGTGGTCTAGACAGTGAGACAGTGAAGAGTTAGTACCCAGTCCTTTGCTTCTTGCCTGCATTGGGGACAGGCAGGACCCGGCAGTGCTGGCTGTCCCAGCAGGAACTCAGCACCCTGCTGTCTCCTAGTGAGCCAGAGCCCACCCTCACCTGAAGCATAGCTTCTGCTCAGAGCAGGGGCCCAGGCCAGGGCTGGGAGCTGTGTTGTCACACCCAGGATTCAGGGCCCCTTCTCCAAAATTACTCCACAGCAGCCTGGACAGATGTGGGAAGAGGGGCTACCAAGGAAGCAGTTCGGTTTGGCAATATTAAGCCAGCACTCCTAAGAGCCAGACCCTGGGCTGGGAGCTGAGGGAGTAGGTAACACGGTCCACCCTTACCGGGCAAAGTCAAAGCACAGGACAAGCAAGCGAGTGCAACCTCTAACATGAGAAATGTCTCAACTCCAACTTTTATTTAGCAACTATAATCAGAACTTTCCAAGATGATATAATATATTAAGTCATTAAATTACAGGCGGCTGCAATTTTCACAGGAATTTATTGAGTGCTAATGTAATTCTTTCATCTAAGCAGAAAGATTACATTGACTTCTGCAAGGGACTTTTACTTGATTGGATTGTAATCAGTTATGTCTTTTCACAGGACCGCATCTTTTTTTTAATTCAATTGTAATCTACTTGTTCCTTAGAGTTGCTGCACTTTATCATTTTTATTAATCAACCTACTTGGTCTCAAACTTCAGGGATGGGCGGGAGTTCCCAAGCTGGCGGGAGGAGGGGTTTCTCGGCCAGGGACGACGCGCAGCTCCCTCTGCTGGTCGGGCTGGGCATAGCATGAGCTTGTGGGGAAAGACGTTGGTCTTCCAATGAGGCTCCACCAGGCATCATTAGGAAAGGGGAAAAGAAAGATTGTTTTCAGATGCCTCCTCTTATCTCCAGTTCTCCCTAGGCAGAAAAAAAAAATCGTGTCTAGAGATGAGCCTCAAGAGAATGAAATGGACTCTAAGAATTAAATGGCAGGATTTGGCAGCTTTGCTGATTCAACTGCACATCTGCAAAGGAAGTTGGTCTTCCTAGGTCCCTGGCCACACCGGGCTCGTGGTACCTGGAATGGGCCCTGGCTGCCAGAAACTCCCTCCCCCACCAACACACACACACACACACACACACACACACACACACCCTCAGCCTCTACTTCTCCTGTTCCTTCCAAAACTCACTTGGTGGCAAGAGTCCAAATCAGGATTCCTCGACAGTGCCATTACTGGCATTTCAGAGCAGATAATTGTTTGTGCTTGGGGCTGGGGTAGGGGGATGTCCAGTGCCTTCTGGAATGTTTAGCAGCATCTGTGTCCTCTACCCACTTCATGCCAGTGGCATACCCAAAGTAATGACAATCAGAAATGCCTTCAGATATTTCCAAATGGCCCCTAGGGAGCAAAATCACTGGTCTTCACTGCTCTAAATGTTAAGTCCCACCATCATTGCCTGAAAGGCAAATGTGAAAGGCCAGTCCACAACCCAGACCTCTCTTAATCTCTTCAAATTTGTTCAACAAATATTTATTGAGTACTTACTATTGCTGGTCACTGTTACAGGAACTTGGGATATAGCAGTGAACAAAAGAAAGTTCTTTGCTCTCAAGGAACTTAGATTCAAGAGGGAGAGGGAGGGAAACAGTGACACCCCCCCCCCAAAGGCCAAGCCCCTGAGGAGGTGTGTGCCCATCCTGTGGAGTACAGGCTGTGAGGGAACAAGGCCCCCACACACCCCCAGAACTACTTCTCCTCTGCCAGAAGTCACGTGGCCCCTGCATAGTTTCCTTTTTCTCGTGCCAGCAAGCACACAGCTTTTTCTCCCTAAAGTTAATCTTTACTCCATGTGCTAAGATTTACATCATTAAGCAACCTTGTTTAAGGCACTATATAAATAGAGCTAGAATCGCAGTTCGGTGCTGGCTGCAGTCTTAGCTGTTCTGGCCACTCTGATCCCATCTTTGTACATCTCTTATGTGTCTTATCTCCTCGTTCCCCACCATTCCCACTCTGGTTCATCCTCCTTCCTCATATTGGTTCATGAAACCATACACTCAAGGAATAGCCTGGAAGAGCAGAGGGAGGAAAAGGGAAGGTCAGTGAGAGATGAGGTCAGAGGGCAGAGGGCTGGACCAGGCTGTTGTAAGGACATGTTTAAGCCATAGTAGGATTTTGAGCTGAATAATGACTTAACACGGTAAGTGTATTAAAGAATTCAGTCTGGCTGCAATGTGAAGAATAGACCACATGGGCACAAGGAAGAGTCAGGGCAGCGGATTCAAGGGCTGTTGCATTAATCTAAGCAAGAGATGATGGTGGCTCAGACCAGGGTGGTAACCATGGGAAGTAGTTGAATTCTGGGCATACTTTGAAGGTTAAATCCAGAAGAATTTCCTGCAAGATCAGGTAAGGAACTGAGAAAAAGGAAAGAGTCAAGGATGAGTCTGAAAATTGCACCTGAGCCCTTGGAAGAAGGGAGCAGCTATCACGGGAGCTGGGGGTGCTGCAGAGAGAGCAGATTTGGGGCAGGATTGCGAGTTCAGCTCAGCATCAGACACACGGAGTTGTCGAGTCCTGGTAGACAGCCAAATGGAGACAGGACAACAGGAAATATACTGCCAGGATTCAGGGGAGAGGTCCAGGGTGGAGCTCTGGTGAGCTATAAACTGGTGAAAAATCAGCATAAAATCGAAACAGGATGAGATTGCCTCTGAGCAGGGCTGGGGAACCTATGGCCTTGGGGCCACATGTGGTCTCTGGAACCTTGAGTGCACCCTTTTGATTGAATCCAAATTTTATAGAACAAATTCTTTTATGAAAAGGGGTGCAGCAGAGAACAATGAAACTTCTCTTACCTTTTTTGGTGCTTAAAAAAAGAACAATCCTGAAATCAGAAGGCCACAGGTGCCCCACCCCTGCATGAGAGGACCAAGGACTGGGCCCTGGGGACCCCCAACATTTAGAGGTCATGAAAAGAGAAACAAGTCAGCAGAGAGGGCGGAAGGAGAGGAGCCAGGGAGGCCGGAGGGGACTCTAGAGGGTGCAGAGTCCTGGAAGCCAGGTGTGGCAACTCTGCCAAACAGGGCAGCCAGCTCCAACAAGGTGCAGACTGAGACTGGGCTAGTCCCTGCCCCCACCAGTTAAGAGAAGACACCACCTGCCCCCAAAGAAGGCTGCAGGGGATGGGTGTGGGTCCGGGTTCTAGTTACAGGAAAGGCCGTCTTCAAGCCCTGCCCCCCTTCTACCACCCCAGCAAGGGAAGGAGGAGAGTGAGCAGAATCTGAGCACCACTAGCTCAGACTGGGCAGCCCTTTGATTTACAGACAAGGAGGCGAGTCCAGGGAGGGGAGGTGTCTCTCCCAACATCACAGAGCCATCGAGAACCCAGACTGGGCCTGCTGTCTTATCCTCTGCCCAGCTGCCAGTCCACACTTCCTCCCCTGACCCTGGCCCCAGTGTGGCCTTGTAGCTCATGCCTGGCCCGGGTGGCACTTAGCAGAGTCTCCCCCCAGCCCAGGACAGCGCTGCACATACACGAGAAGTATCAGTTTTCTACAACAGCAACTCAGAGCCTTCTACCCACACTAAATTCACTCTAAAAAGTATCAAATTATTTCCATCATTAAATCCAAAATGCCATAAAACAAATTGCATCTCAGCTATTTATCTGGAAATTTCTCTAGTACTCGTCGCTGGCACCCCTGAGTGCTTTAGCATACGGAGTAGCTCGCGATGAATTGCCGTGTCCACTGGATGGTTACCCAGCAGCGTTCGATGGAAATGTGATGGTTTATTGGCTTTTTTTCTATTAAGGGAAAGAAAAGTCATTTTCCTCTGAGGTCAGGCTGATGTTTGGAGGATTCATCTGTGTGTGTCGTGGTGGTTGCCAAGCAGGGGTGGCTATTCTTTAAGCACCGCCCTTTTTATTCTGCAATTCCAGGCTTGTGTGTTACAGAAATTTCCCGCACAATCCCAGGGGCTCTCAGGGGAGCCCCCACCAGGAATAGAAGTGAATCTAAATCAAATGATAACAGCAGCCATTTCTCCAGTCCTAACACATGTGACACACTGAGACACCTACTCTCACTACCCTAAGGAAATACCACAGTGGGCGTCCATTCCTGCTCCACACCTACTCGCACTACCCTAAGGCAATACCACAGTGGGCATCCATTCCTGCTCCACACCAGAGCATGGGGGGGGGGGGACCGAGTGCCTCCGCCGCAGTCGCCCAGCTGGGCTCTGGGCCCAGATCATCTGACTGCAGAGTTCACTCCCTGTCCTACACGGCAGACCAGAGCTCTAGTCAGGATTGTGACAGGATTTTGGGGAGGCAAGAACTAGGACATTAACTGGGAAGAATGACAGAATGAGATGTCCAAACCAGAGAAGTGATTTTCCCAAAGATGAGCTCGGAATAAAATCTGGGTCTGGCTTCCTGTTGCTTTTTTCTCTTCCCATGATGCCTCATAACTGCAACTTCTCAAGGCGCCTCCGCGTCCCCTCTGTTTACCTCCAGCCGAGATCTGACCGTTCAGTTTCATCCCTCCACCTGCCCTCATTTACAGGCCCTCCAGCCCTATCTCACCACATAGGACCTTTGTCATCCTGTCTTCAGAGTCTACAGGATTCAAACAGGTCCACCTGGACAATCTCTCTGTCCTAAAATGGACTTCCCTGAGCCAAAGAGACCCTTGGGTTTTTCCCCAAACTCCAATAACTATTTACCCCTGGGTATGCTGCTCTCTCCACCTGGAATGACCTACTTCCCCCTACTTTATGTGCTAACAAAAAAAAAGTTTTCTCATCTTTCAAGGCCCTACTAAAAGCTACCTCCTGCAGGCAGGCGTCCCTGATCACCATTCAGCAGTAAAGGCTCCCTTTCTCTCCCCCAGCTTCTCATAGCATTTTTGTAGCTGAGCTGTCCTTGTGGTCCTTCCCTGAGACTGCCCAGAGTGACGGTTATCTGTAACCGTCATATCTCTTCGACTCAACTGTAAGCTCTTTGAAAGATAGAGTCTATCTTGAAGCATAGAGGGTCTGACTATTGGGAAGTGGAGAACCTTGGTTTGGACACAAACTTAATGAGCTTTTTCTTTCTACAGACAAATCAGTTAATCCAGAAAGTCTGCATTGGCGAGAACAACGTGATAGAGGAAGAAATCCGTGTGAACAGGAGCGTGCATGAGTGGGCGGGAGGAGGCGGCGGTGGGGGCGGAGCCACCTACGTATTTAAGGTAATGTCTTCTTATGGGCCGTGATTTCTGGGCAACGCTGGGCTAGAAACCTCTGGGCCACTCTGATCCCCATTTAAAGATGAGCAAATTGAGGTGTGGCAGCTGTCTGCCCAACGGAGGTCAGGCTCTGCTCTTGCTGACTTACCAGCCCAATTTTCACCTTTGCCATCCAACTTTAGAGTTCCAGAGGCCCCCACTGTGCCCTCCCAGCCAGCTATCTGTGCTGAGATGAACTCTCCTGACATCATTGCAGCCAGGCCAGAAACTAATGGCAAAAGCTTCCTGCTAGGTCCTCCCATGGAGACCATGAGCCTAAGAGCTCAATCTGGAACTTGCAAGGGTCAGGGCCAGTGACTTTGCCTCCCTAATTGAAACCTGGCTGATACAGGAGTGGGTGGGGAGGTGATGGGTTATTGTACCAATAGTCCAGACCCCTCAAGCCACCTTAGACCACCAAGAGGTCACCAGGTCACCCCAATGCCCAGCCAATGCTGGGTGAGGTTCAGACATTGAAACCAGGGCTCAGAGTCTCTGGATTAGAATCGTGGCTCGCTTTCTCAGTTTCCGAATGTCTGCCCTGCCAGATGAAGGATGGCGTGCCCGTGCCCTTGATCATTGCAGCCGGGGGCGGTGGCAGGGCCTATGGGGCCAAGACAGACACATTCCACCCAGAAAGACTAGAGAATAACTCCTCTGTTCTCGGGCTCAATGGCAACTCCGGAGCCGCAGGTAAGGCACCCAAGTCCTGCCTCTCCCAGAATACCTCCCAAGGGTGGGATGGGCTTCAGCTTGACCCATTGCCAATATTCACTTGAGAGTATCTTTGTCAATGGTACCCAATGTGCTGGGAGCCCTGGCTATTGGTGCCACCATCAAGGGAGAGAAGGCAGGCAGCACCCTGGGGCCTGTAGGTCACCCTGCCCACCTGGGACTAGATGATCACTGAGAAAATGCAGCAGAGAGCAGCCTTGGGTAGGCCAGCTGACCCTCCCAGGTTTTCCCAAAATGCAATTGCTAGAGCCTCCCTCTGGGGCACCTCCTTCCTCCTGGGGCAGATGGGGCCCCCACTTAGGGTGTGAGCTGACAAAAGGAATCTCGGCACAGTCAGGGACCTTGGGCCTCTGTGGTGCACACCCCTAGGCCCAGGGCTGCCAGCCCCACACATACACTCACTGGGATGCCTCCTTGAATCTCCATAATGGGGCTGTCATCACCCCTGACTAGCAAGAGCCAGCAGCACAGCAGCGGGACAGACGTGGAACAGATATGAATTCTCTGATTCCTCTAAAGTCAGCCATCTCATGATAGTACTGAGTACACTGGATACCTTACATCCATTAATGTAACTGTTATGATTTAATTTTAAAAATTAAGAGAAAAAAATTTAAAAAATAAAAATAAAAAACATATAAAAATAAATAAAGTCAGCCATCTCTAAAGGAGCAAACGCAATTCCTTTTCATATTTTCTTTTCCCTATAAGAAAAGATCCTCCTTGAAGGAAGATCTTTGAAGACATTTACGATTTGAAATTAATTAAAACAAATGCTCCAACTTTCTCTTCAACAAGAGACAGATAGAGATAAACAGGTAGAAATAGTCATCAGGCCCACCATGCAGTTACCCCGATATTTACGCTAAATCTAACAAACCAAGAAGCACTTTGTACTTTCAGTAAGGGCCTCCAGGCAGATACCCGTCCTGTTTCACACAAGAGCCAATGGGCTCACAGAGGTCTGGTGAATGGTTTTCAACAGATAGATAGAACTCAATCGATTTTCTTTAAGGGCTTTGGATTTATTTGGATTTTGATGTGCATTGTTTTCCACACATTTGCTTGAAGGCTCCAAGATGCAGGTGGGATTCAGAAAGCTCAGCTAGGGGCTGAATAAGGTGAGAGCAGGGCGACTGTCACCCTGAATTTTTTATCTTGCATTTACTCTGCTCCCAGTCCTGCCCAGCACCAGGAACATATCAGGTCCCTAACACAGTGCAGGGGACTTTTCCCTCGGCTATGGGACATCTACAGCCTCGTCAGGCCCATCTCTGGCAGCAGATGGGAGGCCCGTCATGTGAAATGCAAGCACAACACCCCAGTCCTGCAGTTCCACAGCTGACAGAGTCCCCACAACCTGCCTGAGGGTCTCAACAGACCTAGGCCAGTTTCTGACTTCAGCTTCATTTTTGAAATCTGGCTTCCTCTTTCTAGCAAGAGAGTCATCTCATTATGAAGCTGCCCCCTCGTACAGGACTCTCTGTTGCCCCTCCCAGGCCACAAGTTCTTCCAGAAACCCTTCCAGGCCATTAACCCTTATGGCTCTGGCAACCCCACAGGCTGCTGTTTCTGCTCCTTCTAACTGGTCTCTGTGCTAGACAGAGTCTCCCAGAGCCCCCTGTGTCTGTGGAGCCCCACCTGTGAGTTCAAACAACCAAGGATCAAAAATATTAGGGGAAAAAATGGACAGTTTTATCAGTGTCATTTTTTCCTAAACAATACAGTACAACAACTATTTACATGCCATTTCCAAGATGATGAAGCATACTGGGGGGGCTTGCAGAGGCGATATGCAAATTCTATGCCATTATATCGCCATGGGTTTTGGTGTCATCGGGTGTCCTGGAGCCAATCCCCATTGACCCTGAGGGATGGCTATAGATGCTGCTGAAATGTCCGCATGTGGAATATACGGGGCGAAAGGATATTTGAGATCTCAAGGACCAGCAGGAAAGATGGATTGTGGTCAGCCTGTTGCCATGTCCAGCGTCAGCTCTGTAGACGTTGCCAGAGTTCATAGCAGCCCCATGGCTGGGAAGCACAGCACTCAAGCTGCCTCTCTTGCCAGGGTGGCACCTGCCCCTCTCGCAGGGCTCCTGCTCCTAACCTCGGGCCTCAGCCCCGGCCCTGGAGCAGCCCCACACAGGCTGAGCCATGAGGCCATCTGGACATGGATGTTCCTCCTCTCAAGCCCCTAACAGTCTCCACATTTGGCAGTTTGTGGAGCATTTCACATGCTCACTGTCTCCTCTGACCCGCACATCAACTCCACCAGGTGGGTTTTATTATCACCAAGTTATAGGCTCAGAATGGAGAAGCCGTTGCCCAGGGTTCACAGACAGCGAACCCTAACTCCCCCTGGGCTCTCTGTGTCTAGTCCAGGATTCCCGAAAGAAACCTCAGCACAGTGGCCTCTGCGAGGTTTGACAGTTGACTGCACAAAGGCTAGTGAGTCCCAGTTCTTGTTAGGGTGAGAAGCAGTTCATGAAATGAAGGCCCTGCCCTTCTCCATTCTGAGCCCATAACTTGGGGGTTGGCCAGCACGTGGGGAAGACAGAGGAAGGAGTTTAGTTGGGATGCTGTTTGTCCACTACCTTGCCCCACCCTGCCCCTAACCAAGCCAAAGCCCTGCTTTGGAGCTGGAGAAACCAGGCAGGGAACAGGAGTGACCGTGCTGTCATCTGACCCACTGGGCTGTGGCCGGGCAAATGGCCCACTCCTGATCTCCAGCTGTGGACTCTGAAGCCCCTAGACCCCATTGCAGATGGTCCCCAGGAGCTAGGGCTGATGTGAGCATCCCTCACACCCCCAGTCCTGCCTCCTCTTTCAAAGCCCTGAGCTAACCCTGCCAGGTCCTCACACACCCCTTCCTCATCTCCTCCTGCAGGTGGTGGAGGTGGCTGGAATGATAACACTTCCTTGCTCTGGGCTGGAAAATCTTTGCTGGAGGGTGCCACCGGAGGACATTCCTGCCCCCAGGCCATGAAGAAGTGGGGGTGGGAGACCAGAGGGGGTTTCGGAGGGGGTGGCGGGGGGTGCTCCTCCGGTGGAGGAGGCGGAGGATATATAGGTAAAGATGATTCGTGTTCAAGGTGTCGCTCCCTCCCCCTTAGTCCTAGGCACCCCACCTTCCTGCCCCTTCCCAGCCAGCCCCTGCCCTCCCCTGGCCCCTGTGTGGACCATGACTGCACGCCTCCCTCCCCACTGGGACCAGCCAGAGGCAGGGTGTCGCTTCTGAGCCAGCATCCTGCCTCGAGGCTCCCTTAGAAGCAGCATCAAGAGCCCATAGGACTCTTGATGTCCCCCAAAGCCCAGGCCAAAGAGGCTTGGGCTTTCCAGACCATTCTCTGAGTCACCCATAGGGACTTGCTGGCATGGGACTCTCAGAGGCAGGTCCTCCCCAGCCTCCCTCTGGATGGCCTGGCCAAGCCGGCTCCTGAAGAGACCAGTTTGTGGTTTCACGAGCTCCACACCCTACTCCCTGCCCCAGCCCTGCGGCTGCCACAAGGCACCGCTTCCCATTCTGATGGGAGCTGCTCCCAGCTGCTTCCTCTGGGCCTCCGAGCTCAGTCAGAAGAGCCTTCTGACGCTGAGAGGCTGGGAGATGAAGCCCCCGCCCCACAGACTAGGACAATGCATGCCCGTGCTGTGATGTTCGTGTCTATGTTTGGCTTTGAAGCTGTGTGTCAGACGCTTGGGTTAACCACACGCTTGTCCTTCCCAAGTCCTGGGTGGGAGGAGGAGCCCGAGGGGGGAGCCCAGAGATAACCCAGCCCCAGGTGAAAGGAGGGACAGGAGCCTCAGGGCACAGGGGCCATCTCCAAAACCCCAACCTTCATCCCCTGGGATGGGGCAAGTCCTCAGAGCTACTGTCCTGATAGGTCCCAGAAGAGGCACCAAGGGTGTGTCCCAGCTTGGGGAGACCAGAACTTTCTGGATTCTCACTCACACTGACTGCTTCCTAGTGGGGCCGGCAGAATGACAGAGACTCCCCCATGGGAGTTGGTCTGGATGGGAGGAGTGGGGTTGTCCACATACCAAGTCCCAAGTGCAGCTGCTGTGCTCTGAGCCTCCCTTCCCTCTCCAGTGCCCCACCCAAGGCCCCCAGAGACCCCCTGGCTTTGACCAGAGCTGCACGCCCCGCTGATGCGCATGTGTGTTGAGATGTTGGCACCCACCTCTCTGTGTTAAACTCCTCTCTGGTTTGCCACAGGTGGCAACACGGCCTCCAACAATGACCCTGAAATGGACGGGGAGGATGGGGTTTCCTTCATCAGTCCACTGGGCATCCTGTACACCCCGGCTTTGAAAGGTACCCCTCTGCCAGGTAGCAGAACAAACCTCCTTAAGCTAAAACCTCAGGGCTACTCACACCTGTCCAGAATACAAAGGCATAATTATGGGTCCCTTGCGGGCAGGTCTTCTGATGGCTTGTCTCACCCAGTTTTCTGTAAGTTAGTTCATGTGGTTTAATACTGACATGGAGGCTCTCTTCTCTTCTCCCCTGCTCTCTCTCCTCCTCACTCTCCTCTTTTCTCTCCCCTTTTCTTTCCTCCTTGGTGCTGCTCTGCAGCCTCCCTTCCCCACCAATAAAGACCTTTCGTACAAAAAAAAAAAAAAAAAAATACTGACATGGAGGAGATATTGACTGCCAAGAAGGCCAGTCCTAGAAAATGGCACAATCATAGCCGGCATACCTGAACCAGCCAACCAAAGGGTCACACAAGGGTACATTTTGTGTGTACTGTCCGAGGTACACACAAAGTGCAGACCTCTGTGGGCACCCCAGGTTCTCTGTCCAGCTCCTCACCAGAGGCTCCAGTGGCAGTAGGACCTAGGGACAAGAACCAGAGAAACCACAGGCACCAGCTAGAGAGACAGCACAAAGGCTGGGAATGAGGTGCAAGGCGGTCTCCACAGGCTCGGCCCCAGACTTACCCTCCCTCCTTGTCACCAGTGATGGAGGGCCACGGGGAAGTGAACATTAAGCATTACCTAAACTGCAGTCACTGTGAGGTAGACGAATGTCACATGGACCCCGAGAGCCACAAGGTCATCTGCTTCTGTGACCATGGGACCGTGTTGGCTGAGGACGGTGTCTCCTGCATTGGTAAGGGGATAGGGGGAGGGAGGGCCCAGAGCCTGAGCTTTGGCCCATGGCTACCACTGGTTTCTGGGGTTCCATGACACCTTGGATTCAAGTTCTGTAAATTTCCTGTCCCTCCCCCACCTGCCACAGCACAGAGGCTCTGACCACTGGTATATGGACGGTGGGCCACAGCTCCTGAAGGGGACTGAAAATTCCCCCTGTCCTATCCCTAACCCAGGGCAGGAGCCCTCTGGTATCCCCACCAGGAAGCCATCCCATCTCCACTTGAACACTACGGGTGACCTCACTACCCGTAGGGCACTCTGTCCCTTTCCTCTCGTAGGTGCCCTTGTTCCTGATGGCCTTGAAGTGCAGGTCGCAGACAGTGCCTCCCTCCTCCTCTACATCTTCTGCACATGAAATAACCCCAGTGTGTTTTGAGCAGTTCACACACGATAGATTGTGTTTGTCCTCCCCACCCACTGTCCCTCCTCTGCATGTGTCCCAGATGTCAGGGCCCCTTTTGAAACGTAATGTCCAGCACCCAACACAGTGCTTCAGTGTGGACCTGCCCACAGGCCCAGGACACCCTCCCTGCATGCTCTGGGCACAGTGCCCTGGGCCACAGGGAAGCAACAGCATCAGAGGGGGTAACAGGTGTCACACTCTCCTGTCCAGCGATGCCAAGTGCTGGACCATGTAAGGCCCCAAATCTCTTCTCTATCTGCTTTCCCACCTTCACCTTAGAGTAGTGCAGTTGACATTTGGGACCACCACCCAGAATTTTGTATTCAACCCGGTTAAACCTTCCCTCCCTCCACCCAAAAGCTGCTGTTAAAAGCCTATAAAACTTGGATGAGTCTGTGTCCTGCCCATGGTCCCCTGAGAAGGGAGGGGCGACAAAGTGCCCACAGAGAGGAAGGAGCAGGAGGCTTTTGTCCCAGCTGGGGAGGTTATTTCTGACTAGGGCCAGCTCAGAAGAGAAGCTGCGTGGTTGTCAGTGCCCGTGGGGACCTGTCTTCCAGTGTCACCTACCTCAGAGCCCCACCTGCCGCTCTCCCTGGTCCTCTCCGTCGTGACCTCTGCCCTTGTGGCCGCCCTGGTCCTTGCCTTCTCCGGCATCATGATCGGTAAGTACAGCAGACCCCCGGGGCTCCCACAGGGGCAAGAAAGCCAGTCTGAGGAGTGTCTCAGGCTGTGCTGCCGATACTAAGTTGTTGCTCTGTCCTAAGAGTCCCTGGAATTGGGTGGGGTGGTGGTTAGGGTGGCCTGGAACAGGCCAGACAGAGGCTCCCAATCCTCCCACCAGCAAAGCAGCTGCTGTTCCCTAAAGGAAGCCCCAGTTCTGGACCTCAGCCCCTTTGCGCCTTCCTAGCTACTGAGGATGGGAAGGACTCTTCAGTGGCCAACACAGTGGCTAGAGCGCACACCTGTCCCCAGACTTCACACGTGTGTTTGTGGACACCACTCCCCATGCAATGCTCAAGCCCCCATCTTCTCCAGATGTCCCTTCTCTAGGCAGAGAGGATGAAAGCTGGTTTCTGAGTGTTTCCATTCAGCCTGTGAGCCAAAGTGACTTGACCCACAGGTCACAAAGGGCTCAGCATGGTCCAGCCTTCCTCCTACTACTGGCACATAGATGCCCAGAACAGATGGGCAGTGGCGAGAAAAGGGGAGAGGGCAGACCCCCTTGGCGCCCTCGCAGGCCAGCTCTGGTGGGGGGGGGGGCACAGGTGGACAGGAGAGGATAGCATATGTGTGTCCCTATACGTGACATCCTTACTATGAACAGGACTGTAGGCACAAACACTTGCTTCCTGCTTACTCCATGCCTGGCAATTTACACATCTCAGTTTATTAAATGTCCAAGTAACCTTGCGATCACCGAGGTTGGCACATTTCGCAGAGGGGGAGGGGGAGGACCGTGGCTGACTTACATGCACCATCCAGAAGTGACAGGGCTTCCCACAGCACCCACCCCAAAAGGCATTTTTTTTTTTTTTTGAGACAGTCTCACTCTGTTTCTCTCAGTAGAGTGCCATGGTATCTTAGCTCACAGTAACCTCAAACTCTTGGGCTTGAGCAATCCTCTTGCCTCAGCCTCCCAAGTAGCTGGGACTACAGGCTTGCACCACAACACTTGGCTTCCAAATGGCAATTTCCTTGGCCTCCCATGGAGCCGGCCTTACAGATATCCTCCCATGAAGGAGTAACTTGGGAATGGGGACCCACATTGGTAAAGCGCTTCGGAATTTTTCAAAACCATTTTATGTTGGTGAACTCATTTCATTATGACAACTCTAGCAGGTGGGGAAAGAGGGCTTAGGGAAACAGGGCAGGGGTTACCACACCCACCTACAGAGAAGGAAACTGAGGTCCCAAGTGGTCAGGTGACCTGGTCAGCATCACTGAACAAAAGTCCTCAGATACCAACTTTCCCCCTGTACAGTTCCCCAGCCACAGGAAACAATCGACCAAGACCTCATTGCTGCATTTGTACTGAGGCTGCCACACCCAGTGACTGAGTATTGCAGAAATACTAAGACAGGCTGGTTTCTGGGAGACGTGGGGCTCCTCTGACGGCCGACTTTGGCTCCAGAACTTCCCCAGGGCACTGCGGAGACTTCCCTAGGCTGCATGGCATCTAGGGAGCTTCTACCCAGCCTTCTCTCCCTCCCTCCTTCACAGGGGGTCTGGCCTGTCACAGTTTGAGGGTTCCTCAGCCTCTCCTGGCTCCCTCCATGTTTTCTCTCCTAGACAGTTGCCCTAATAAAATTCTGGCCTGTCTAACTCCATCTCGAGTCTGATTCTGGAAGGCCCCAAACTAACATGACTGCCCTTTTAGATACAATGAAATCCTTTCCTTTTATAATCTTACGCTTTGGGTTTACTTTAAATGATATTTCAATTAAAAATACACTTTCATATCTATACTCTTTGGCTAGAGTTACTCAGTACAGTGGAAAGGTTTAGAGCTCAGGGGAAGAGATGGAGAATGGGGATCCAGGGAGGCTTCTGGGAGGAGGTGGCCTATGCTGACCTTCAAGGGCCAGACCACGTGGTCCAGCCACAGTGCAGCTGACCACCTGTGTGCAGTATACCGCCGGAAGCACCAGGAGCTGCAGGCCATGCAGATGGAGCTGCAGAGCCCTGAGTACAAGCTGAGCAAGCTACGCACTTCGACCATCATGACCGACTACAACCCCAACTACTGCTTCGCGGGCAAGACCTCGTCCATCAGCGACCTCAAGGAGGTGCCAAGGAAAAACATCACTCTCCTTCGGTGAGGGCTGCTACTGTCCTATATGTCCATGGAGTTTATGCAATGCAAGGAAAACACCCAGAACCAGAGCTCTCCAAAATATCCATCCAGGGGGTCCCCCCTCAAGCCCTCCTGGCCCACTCCCTTCAGGAGGGGCAAAGTGCCCTCCTCTGAGCACCCAGGGCAACCTGGCATCCCTCATCACTCACCACCAACACCCCACAGCAAGTGTCTGCCAGTGCTCTGCCCTCCCCAAGGAGTGGGCGCCTCCCTGGGCACACCTGTGTCCCTGGCACATATCATAGTCAACAGCTGTCGATTGAATGAATAAACATTTGACCATTGTCATAAATCCCTGGTTGAAACCTCTCTTACCAGTATTCAGACAAAGCATGGAGGCTGGGATTGCACAGCAAAGCAGACAAAGGCTGTTCCTGGTGCCTCTTGCATTTGTCCACCAAATGTGACCCTGGCTCAGGGGCACCAGTGGCGTCTTTACAGTGGCCGGTTCCACTCTGCCTCATCTTTTCTTATCCTTTGCACAGGGGTCTGGGCCATGGCGCATTTGGAGAGGTGTATGAAGGCCAGGTGTCTGGAATGCCCAACGACCCAAGCCCCCTGCAAGTGGCTGTAAAGGTAGGAGGCAGCTCCCTTGAAGCCTGACCTGGGCCTGCGGCCCCTGTGGGCTGCAGCTCCCAGCTCACAGCCTTCCTCCCTCCCCACCCTCCCCTTCTGTGCCCAGACACTGCCAGAGGTGTGCTCAGAACAGGACGAGCTGGATTTCCTCATGGAAGCCCTGATCATCAGGTAAAGCCACAGGGGCATACACATACCACCACCACAACCAACAGGGAGACGACATCTCTAAGAGACAGATGTCTCCAAGGAAAATGGCACTGTCCCCTGCATGTCCCTGCCTCCTCCATAGGAGGCTCCTGAACACTCTGGACCCTTCTACCAGAGAGGAATAACTCATGGCCATTGTCTCAGGAAAAAAACCATGTGATCTAAGAATCCCACTGTATCAGTGCCTACGACCATGCCCCTGTGGTCATTCATCAGTTCTGGTCCCCTCACTTTTGCTTAAAAAGTGAAGCATGCTAGTTTTTGACAGTCTTCTTAAGAAATACAGGATGCTAGTTTCCACCAGTCCTAGCTTGCAGATCTAGTGGGACTGCACCCCCAATGTGAGGCCACCCACCTCTGGGTCCACGTTGGCAGGGCTGAGTCTCAGCTGCCCTGCACCCTTTAACTCGTGGGTCTGGATTGAAGTGGGAATCTCAGAGCCTGAGGCTCCTGAGGGCATCTGCTCTGACAGCAGATCCCCTTAAGGAAGGGGCAGTTGTCTGACCTTGAGATCTGGGTAGGGGGTTGGGGGAGGTCATGGCCCCTGGTGGGTGCCACCTGGAGTGTCCTCTGGTGGAATAGGCAGGGGAACAAGGCCAGGCAGCTCGAGTGATATGCCTGTGGGGTCTAGAGCCACAGGAGAATGAACGGTGGGGTCAATACATTGCTTTAAAATAACATTTATTGACTGAGAACAGCGGCTCTTGCCTGTAATCCCAACACTTTGGGAGGCCAAGGTAGGAGAATTACTTGAGGTCAAGAGCTTGAAAGCAGCCTGGGTAATACAGAAAGACCCCCAACTCCACAAAACAAAAAAAAAAAAGAATTAGCTGGGAATGATGGCACATACCTGTAGTCCTACCTACTCAGGAGGCTGAGGCAGAAGGACCGCTGAGCCCAGGAATTTGAGGTTGCAATGAGCTACAATCACATCACTGTACTCCAGCCTAGGTAACCGAGCAGACCCTGACTCAAAAAGTAAAAATTAAAAAATGTTTATTTTCTGACTATACATGTAACACATGAGAATTGAATAAGACTTGGCAAGTGTGAGATTTTATAGAGGAAAACTCAAGTCACTCAATCTCACTACTGGATAATAACTAATCATTAACTCGTGTGTGTGTGTGTGTGTGTATGCACACACGTGGAGTTTCCTGACCTGCTGCCCTGTGGGCCCTAATGGGATCACCTTAACAATAAAATCCAAATCTCAGGGCCTCTTGCCCAACTTGCCCCCTCCCCTGAGGAATCCACAGGAGACTGCAGAAACCATGAAGTCACCCTGTCTTCCTGGCTCTTTCCCACACACTGTCACCAGCACAGCTTACACTGTCCCTCCTGAGGCCTTCCTAGCGTGCTCAGCCCTGAATTCTGTTGCCCAGTCCATGTGTCAATGTCTCTCCTGTCCCCACACACACTCTCCCACCCCAGCACCTGTGCCAGGTTCTTCCCACCTGCTTAGTAGGGAAATTCTGGACAGACTCCTCCCAGGACCCCTGCACCCATACTTACAGAATGCATTTACACCTCTTGGTTGCTGAAATGTAACTTTGTATCCTGCTTCCTCCTCTTAAGATTTGCCCAGATTCAGCTCTGGTTAACTTGGTTGCATCCTCCTCTGCTCCGCAGCAAATTCAATCACCAGAACATCGTGCGCTGCATCGGGGTGAGCCTGCAGGCCCTGCCCCGGTTCATCCTGCTCGAGCTCATGGCGGGCGGAGACCTCAAGTCCTTCCTGCGAGAGACCCGCCCGCGCCCGGTGAGTGGAACAGTCTTTGCCCCAGAGGTTGTGCCAAGGAAAGGAGCGGGGAAGGCAGGAGCGGGACCGGGCAGCCTGGGGAGCAGCATTCTCAGCAGGACCAAGGGAGGCGGCCCTAGGGCTGGGATATAGCTGACTGACTGGGACAGAGTGGCCTGGGTGGATGACAGTGAGCCCCAGCCCCAGAGAGCGTGTGCAAGGTCCGTGCAATCTGTTCCATGTCCTGCTGATTCTGGGAAACCAAACTGCAGACAAACACAGAGGGAAACTTCACCCCAGCCATGTTGCTAACTCAGCAAACTGACCTGGAGCAGGTCGCTCCGCAGCCACTCATTCTGAACCCATTATCCTCGTGTCTCAGACAGGGACGGTAGCACTTGGCCGTTCTGACCTTTATAAAAGCAAAATGCTGAAATATTGGGGAAGGTGCTGCCCACGTGTTCTGGTTAGGGACTAGAGCTTGGGTGAAGAAAGCAAGGATGGACCCAGGAAGCCCGAGCTCCAGCCCCTGCTTGGCTATACAATTTAGGGCAGTCACCCCCCCCCACCCCATCCCCCACTTAACCTCAGAGTCTGCACAGGTGAGAGAAACAGATCTCAAAGGTGGCTCTGCATCATAGAACACAGCCATGGGCAATCCCCACCTGCCTCTGCCATCTAGCTGGTGCTGCTCCCAGGACTAGAGCTACAGCTATGCCAGCCCCAAGTTTAGGATCCAGGCTTCCTCCAGGAGCCGCTGGACTGCAGGGGGCCACAGGTGCCACAGGGAAGAGACTTGCATCGTGAGAGCAGTGGCACCTTCCTGCCTCCAGAAAAGCAGAGAAAGACTCACTGCCACTTGCTACAGAAAACCCAGCCTGATCACACCATTCACAGGGACTCAGAGTGGGGACAGAAACCCAGAAAGGTCACAGCTGATCCAATCTCCACCCTTAGTCAGCTCAATGTAAAGTACCTTTGCCTTAGGAGCCCTAAGAAGAATCCTGTCTTACCCTTTGAAAAGATGAGTGTGTGTACCTGTGCACACCTGCAAGGAGGTGGGTGGGGAGACTAACCCCATCTCACCGTAACCCTCATTCCACACTGTCACCCTCCCCAGAGCTCACATTTCTCAGCACCACCCTATGAAGCAGACAGGGCAGATTTCTCCCCCATTCTATGGCTAAGAAAACTGTAGCCCAGAAACGTCACGCCACTTGCCAAGTAAGTGGAAGAGCCAGTTCTAGAGCACAGCACTCGGGCCTACTGACTTAGTGCCCTCTCCAGCCCACTATTTGCCCAGTGGTCCTCTCTGGGAAGCTGTGAAGTGTCGAGGTGGTTGGGTCCTTGACAACCAACACTACCTGGTCTCCAAGTGTCTCTGCCAGGAGCCAGGCATCAAATCATCATCATTTGCCCACCACCGCCACCCATCGGGAGGGCAGAGTCTTCAGCCCTTGTGCCCTGAGAGTCTTAGCAGCACTGCTGGCAGAGGTCAAATGGGGGGCATGTGGCATCACACTTTGGGAAGAGGTACAGCTCTGGTTTTCCCACTGGCCCTTCCTGAGGCTCCTGCACAAAGGAAGCCTGGAAACCCATCACTTGGAAAGTTCAAGGACTTTAGAGGTGGGAAGGGTAGGAGTAAGGAACACGCCTCTCCTCCCTTTGATGATGAAAGATGATTTAAACATCATTGCAAGGAACAAAGCACAAGCAAGGAAATGGTTGTACTTCTTATCCCTCCCACCCCCAGGGCACCATCCTCAGGAGGGTCAGAACAGGAGGCTGCTGCCAGTTCTGATCTCTGCCAGCAGGTACTGCCCAGGGAGCACCCACAACAGGGAGGGCACCTGCCCTCAGGAGAGCCACTGCTCAGGCTCAGGATTCCACTCCCCAAATATGCCCTTCCAATTGTTGACCCTGCTTTTCCTTGGCATGGCTCTTCCTGCCAACCATGCACCCAAGTCTTCGTGACCCTCACAGACAGCAACCTGATGACGCTTCTCAGCTCCCCACACGCCACCCATCCCAGCCGAGCTGGTCCTTTCTGAGATGCCCAGCACATGAGAGGTGATTTCAAATGTTGAACTGTGGCCCTCCAGAGCAACCCCACACTGGTGTGTTTGTGGCAGCAGTCTCCTGGGGGATTAGAGGATTTGCTGGGCTTCCCGCATGAGTTCTCAGTGCCACAAAATTCATCTTAGTAAGATGAGGATTTGTGAAAAAGATGTGATTGCAAGTGGACAGAGGGGACTAATATCATCAAATCCTACATAGAATAAAGGAAGGAGAATTCACCAAGGGACACCAGGGAGGGAAAAATAGATACACTGAAGAGAGAGCGGGCCCAGATGCCTCCAGGTTCAAATGCCTCAATTCCACCTGATTCACAGGTTCGAATCTCCCTGAGACTTTCATGGGTCCCCTGATGACCCACTATGTACAGGCACAGACTGGAAGTGCACCATCAGGCAAGGCATCTGTCCTCCCTCCCCACCAGCCAGAGGCCACGCAGTTCCACAGGCCTCACATCAGCATCAAAGGCTCTCAGAGATGATACAAAGGGCTCTGCCTCAGGTTACAAACGTACAGATGTGAAGTGCAACGCAGGGACAGAATGCAGCCCCAGGGAGCCATGTCTGTCACACAGACGGGGACAGATAAAAACATCAGTTGATCTGGGACCCCCACCTCTTTAAAAACATAGGTCCCCTTTTAATGCTGAAAACATTTTGCAGACCCAGTGTTATTCAGCCAATATTTGTGGAGGGCTTCCTACATGCCAAGTGTAGGTCATGCCTGTCTCTAGTATCCATTGATTCAATCAGTAACACCAAAAGCCTTCAGGAGGTCAGCCATCTATAAAGGGATAGGGCTTTCATCACAACAGTGCCTATGACTACCTGGGACACCTCATGCCTCCGGCTCATGGCTCTATAGAAGATGTTTGATGTACAGGTGGCATTCTGGATCCTAGAGGTCCTCCGAGGTGAGAACCTCTGATTTGGACTCATGATCAGGTTTGCATCTTTGGCTGTGACTTTTATAACACCAGTGTGGCTCCAAAAAGGGGCATCAGGTGCAGAGGAGCAGCTGAAGGTGCAGGACACACGGTGCGCAGAAGCACTCACTTCTAAGCAGTCGCTTCTTTTCAAAGTGGATTTTGGCTGCTTTTCTATATTCTGTGTTCTCTGTCTGCATTCTGCGCTTTTCCTTACATCCCTCCTTCTCACCGGTCCTTGCATCAATATTAACATATGTCCTGTTCTGTTTTCACTTGGTAGAAGAATTCCTGTCCTTTCTTCTAGCTACTTACCCCTTTGACTGCGGAGCACTCAGAAGTGAAACATGCCTACAGGTGTCCTTGGCACCAAACAAGCATCTTGTTTGAAAATTTCTAAGTGCTGTTCGCCGTCAAAAGGTTAAGAAAAGGAGAGCTATTGATATTATTGTCTTTTTTTTTTTTTTTAGTAATATTATCCTTTAGGAATAGCTCCTCAGAAGTTATGAGACCAAAGTCATTCCTGTTTCCTCATCCTGTAAAAGTGAAATATTGACCTAACAGTGTCCCTGAAAGGAACACCAGAGCCCGGGAACTCTGGGCTTAACTTGCAGTGCGCTGCAGGTGCCCCTCGGCCGGCACCGGCGCGCAGAGACTCGGAGCACGCGGCATGGAGAAAGCTACGTGGCCCAGGGATTTCCACGCCGATCTGACCTTCCAGTTGCGTCCCGCAAACCCACAGCATATGCTCCTAACCGCGACTGTATGGAAAAGGCCTGGTTGCCGAGGAAGTGCCACACTCCAGTGGCAGGTCAGGGAGGAAACCTCCAGTCCCTCTCCAGCTCTGCCCCGGGCCGGATACAACGTCACTGGGTACACTTATCGGTTTCACCACAACCGTCCACACCTCCTTCCACCCACGCACACGCCACACATGCACCGCACACACATCACACACACATCACACACATGCCACACACACACACAGCACATCACACACACACATATCTCATCACACACATGACACACACACACATAAACACAACACACATACCACAAATGGCACACATACACATATCATATCACACACCACACACACATACCACACACACACCACACATATACCACACTCATACCACACACATGCCAAACACACACCACATCACACACACATACCCACATACCACACTCACACCACACACACACACACCACTCACATACCACACACACACACACATACACCATGTAGCTCCAGGCCCCTAGGCAGTGAGACACCCATAGTTCTCGCATTCCGAGTGCTGGGCTAAGACACAAAGAGCCTGGCAGAAAAATACTCTTCCTCAAGGCTCCATCTACCTCCGTCTGGACTGGGCCCTCCTTGGGTAGGAGCAGAAAGCATCTTCCTGAAGAGAAAAAAGGTATTTCTAATCCCATAGCGAAATAGACGAGTATGTTCCTCAGAGACACAGCTTTTCTCTCTCCCAGGAGATGGGGCTGTCTCTCCCACTTTGGACCCTAGCAAGGCCCCTGGAGAAATCAAACACAGGGACCATTTCCCAAGACCCCCAACCGTGGCCCTCCCAGGCTGTGACCCCATGGAGACTTGCAGGTGCCTTTGGGAAGCCTTGCCTCCATGCCCCTTTGTGTGGGTCCTCTTAACAAGCCAGAGTGGCCGCTGGCATCGTGCCACTTTCACAGATGAAACTGGCTAAGAGAGAGGCTGAGCCATTAGCCCCGCCCAGGTCACATGGTCAGAAAGGGACAAGCGGGGTGAAGCCCACTGGACCGATGGTAAAGTGTGCTGTCTCCGTCCCCATGTGCTGTTCTCGGCATCCACAGGTGCACCAGGCTCTGTGTTCACATGTCCGCCACCCGCCCCAGGCACCCTCTCCTATGATGCTCAATTTTAACTCCTTGAATCCTGCCACACACACATCCCCAACTCAGATCCTTAAAGCTCAGGATCTGGGCAGCTTAGGCTCCACCCTTAACAGCTGTGTGAACTGTGGGGAGTCACTTAACCTCTCTACACACTCAGCCATGTCCTCTTTCATGTGGGACCCCCTTCTCCCTAGCCGCCTTACAGCCCGCTGCACAGCCTTGCTCTACTAATCACAAGGCACTGACAGGGTACTGCCCACCACACTTCTCCCCCAGATCTGGAGCACAGCCCTGAGAAGCAAGGCTCCCCTCTGCCTCCTCCAGACCCACACCATTGCTCCAAGGGGTTCTGGGCGGCCTGATGCCAAGCAGAGGGCTAAGCCTACCCCCAGACCCTGGCCACATGGCGGGCTGAGTGACTTCCCTGTGCGCACTTCAGGACTAAATAGCCCAGTCCTCTCTCTGCCCTTGAGGATACAATGTGACAGGGTAAAGGCTCTGAGTTTCTCAGAAGGAAAGCAAACCCCAAGAGCACAGGTTTCTTGCGGGGAGTTTGCCAATGAGCTCCAGAGTCAACAGCCTGAACACCTGTCTTCAGGTTTAAATGATGGGCCCCAGCCCAGGAGGGGATTGGCTGCCAGCTGTGCTTTCTTGGGAAGGTATTTGGATCTTGCCCCTCCGGGTAAACTGTAGCCCTGAGCTGTAATCAACCCACCCAGTACTCACTGAATGCCCAGACTCCAGGGCGAGGGCGCTGGACTCGATGGGAAAGTAAGATCTCTGACTCTGGGACTTCACACTTGGCTTGGGGACGCTGAAATGAACACAGATACCACCACAGTGACCGGGACACTACAGGCAGATGAGCTGCTGCTGCACACTCGGAGACTTTGGAATTAAAGGGCGGCCAAGCTGGGATGTCACCTTCAAAAAAAGCTTCACGGTCCAAGAAGCCAAACCAGGATGTGCCCCCAGAGCTGGCGGCGACTTCTCCTTTTGCACGAAAGAGACTTCTCACAGAAAAGCCTGAGATGGCTCTGAATCCCCAGCATTTTCCCAAAGTTTTTCTTTCTCAACCCCCTTTAGCTCTTTTTCTTGAAGAAATTTAAGAAATATTTTAAAAATTAAGGAGTTTTGGAACGTTTTCCCCCTTGATTTCCTCACAGGCTGGTTTATAGATTTGGGGTGTTCTCATGTTGAAGATGGGGGGGTGGGGCATAGGAGAAGGTGCAGAGTAAGTTAAGAGGAGAGGACATCTGCCCCTCCGGGGTTCTTGTCTGGGGGTTCCCAGCTCTGGCTGCACACCAGCACTACCCTGGGAAGCCCCACTTTACCAATGCTGCACCCACCCAGAGGGGTGGAATCCTGGTCTGGGGTGGGCCCCGGGCCTCAGGTGCTTCTAATGTGCAGGTGGGCGAGACCCCTTGAGAGCACTTGAAGCCAGCGTTTCCCATCTTCCCTCCCCCACCCTGCCGTGAGCTTCTGGTCAGTAGATACTTCTGTCTCCCGCAGAGTCAGCCCTCCTCCCTGGCCATGCTGGACCTTCTGCACGTGGCTCGGGACATTGCCTGCGGCTGTCAGTATTTAGAGGAAAACCACTTCATCCACCGGTGAGTCAGAGACCTGGCCCTTCCCACAGCCTCTGTGTGCTTCCTGCACATCTCAAGGCCCCACAGTCCCCCCTTCAGAGTGGAATACCAGGTCTCCCTCCAGAGTTGGTTGGATGACTCAGCTCTGTTTGTTTTCGAGGTGGTAACTGGCTCGATCAGGGCTTCACTTACCACATTAGTAAAATGGATGTCGTAAAATATCCATGCCAGTACTGGGGGCCTGTAAATTAGTCTTGACCTCCTGTGAGGTCTCCTGCCTGTATCTTGAATGGTCAAGTCCTATTATCACTTTATTTTTTTTCTTTTTTTTTTTATTGAATGGTAACTATGTACATTAATGCACTTCTGGGGTACAGTGTGGGGTTTTCACATGCAATCCGAAATACTTCCATCAAACTGGTCAACACAGCCTTCATGTCATTTTCTCAGTTATTGTTTTAAAACATTCACATTCTACTCTTAGAAAGATTCACTTGTACCCCTGTAAGATAAACCTCAGAAGTGATCCCTTCAATCCCCCTCCCTCCACCCATTCACCCCTCCCTTCTCCCTCCCGTCCCCCCCCCCCATTATCACTTTAAGGGTCTTCCCTCCCATCTAGAACACTGGGCTCCTTCCAGGAAGTTAAAAGAATTACATTTTTGACAATAGGTAACCAACCGGAAGGCAAGGACTCTGTTTTATTCATACTTGTGTCCCTGGCATAGAGTTGTTTATTGATTGTTAATTTTTTCTAAGATACTCTGAAGTGAAGGTGCAATGACTATTTTCTTTAGAGCTGTACTTCATTTCTTCTACTATAATAACCCTTGTGTTTCAATGCTGTTTGGACTGTCCACACCTGATGCGGCAAACATCACAGATCACATATTTCTTTCCCCGTGAGTGTTGGTGACTTTCTCAGCTGACAGCTTAATTCTGAAATCTGAAAGCAAAATAGATTGTTAGGCTCTTTGCAAAACCCTTCTGTACTGATTTGCTTCTAGTCTCGTAAATAATAACCTGGTGAACTCACAGTCATTTATTAACCCACGTCTTCAAAGAGTTTGAGGTATATTCATAATACAGTTGGGATATGTAAGTCCAAAGCAGGAGATTGGAGATGCTGACTGGGCTTAGAAATAGAAAAGTATGTCTGTAACAAGCTGTGCCTTCGCCCCACTGAAAACGGGAAACCAAAGATTGGGAAGTCCACTTGCCCAAGTCCCCACAATAAAGCCTCTCTCAAGAGCTTAGTGCTTTTCAGTTCATCCTCTTGATTCTAAACTTCCAACTTGTGGATCATCCTGCTTGATAGAAATAACAGAAGCAAAAGAGGAGTTGGGTCCAGCTTCAAAGATTGGGTCATTCCTATTCTTGTCCTTGTCACTGGACCCGGAACTTTCCATAAACCTCACCTCTGGGCTTTGCCATTACTCAGCTGAGACAAGGTTGTGCTCTTTTCAGAAAGTCATCCGTGGTCAGAGCCAGCGTCCCAGCTTTGGTCCATGTCCTTGAAGTCTGGACACCTCTGGACTTCACTTCTCATTGAGATCTTTTCTGCTTTTTATCTCCACCTCATGCTGATCGCCGCAGCACACAGTCTCTCTGACTGAGGGATCGTATCCACCTTTCCTCTGAGCTTTTGAAATCTGCTTTGCTAGAGTCACAGTGCATTGTGACTGTCTCCAGTGTTCCGTTGTTACAGGTGGTAACAGGACTGCAGGCTCTCAAGAGTCCTGTCACTTCTTTATCTGTAAATAGTTACCAAAGGCCAGAATTAGCTCCCAGAGTAATAGTCTGTTGATCTTTTATCTTTTTTAAGAAATTAAATTGTTAAAGACCAAATGAAGAATGTTTCAGATGATCTATTTTACACAAAAGGAAACATCTGGCAGAAATTCTCCATCTCAATCAAAGCCTGTCCTCTGGAGTAATTTGGTTATTTGTACTGGGAATGTATTCTTTGAATCTTCTAAGATGTCTATGGTACACACCCACAACAGAATCACCTTTAAAGCTCTCTGACCCCACTGCCATGTGTCTGTCCTTGTGTTCATGGGCCTCCACATACCTGCACCTCCTGACTTCAGAGTGGAACGCCCTCATCAGGTCCACGTGCTCCCATTTTTTTATTAGATCTCTTTCCTTGGGACATAGTTTATTGCCATTTCAAGAATAAGGTGTCATTTCATCAACTCTTCATGTGTTCTATGATATTATATTTATTTTCTTGCTCTTAAATTCAAGATCACTCTTTTAAAAAAATCATTCCATACTATCAGCATAAAAATCTTTCTGGAGCCATAAATATTGTTCCAGGTCTACTTTGCCATATTTCTCTTGAGAATTAATGACTGTATAGCCAACTATTTTTCTTCTTTTTGATGTCATATGTGTTCTGACTTTATGGTTTTATGGAGGCATTTCATATACCACCACCCCTAAAAATTCAACTTAAAACCTTCTGGTTCAGGTCAGTGGCATTAACAATATCCATTGGAGGGGGGATTGTTTGTTTGTTTGTTTGTCTTTTTGTTTCTTGAGACAGAGTCTCCCTCTGTTGCCCTGGGTAGAGTGCTGTGGCATCATAGATCACAGCAACCTTAAACTCATGGGCTCAAGAGACCCTCTTGCCTCAGCCTCCCAAGTAGTTGGGACTACAGGTGTGTGCCACACCTGCTTAGTTTTCTATTTTTAGTAGAGGCAGGGTATTACTCTTGTTCAGACTGGTCTCAAACTTTTGAGCTCAATCAATCCACACACCATGGCCTCCCAAAATGCTGGGATTACAAGCTTGAGCCACTGCGCCTGGCCCCATTGTTCTTATATCCTCAGCCGTGACCCTCAATCCAGACATTACTTTTTCGATACCGTCTTAGCAGCCAGTTGTTTCTTCTTCAAGGATCAGCCAAGGATCGGAATCTTCATGAAACCAATTGAATATGAAAACGTCATCTGTGGCCCCTAAGTACTTCTTGTCTTTTCCTGCTCAGGACTTGAGTATCATCAGAGACTATCCAGACTGCCTCTGGCTGCATCCTTCATCCCCCCATGTGTGTCAACAATGAGCGAGCAGCCAGAGAGGAGGAGTTGATGAGTTCTGGAAAACTTTAGGTCAGGCCTCAGAGACACGCTATAGGCAACAGCCCACCTGCAGTCTATGGACACAAAGCGCAACTTCAGAACTTGGAAGAAGTGATTCTTTGATTCTTCAGCCACGTAGCTTAGCAAATGCTTTAGATAAAACCATGGATGTCAGAACTATCGTGGCTTATTTCTTAAACTACTTGAACTTAGTCTCATAAAAGTCATGCTGTTCTAAAGCACTGCTTCAAACATCTGGCAGAACCCAGCCAGCGGTCTGTACAAAACGACAGCCTAAGGCCAAGTAGCATTCCTTCTGCCCCTAAATTATCTGCTTTCAGCTTAACTTGTTTAATGAAATGAAGATAACAACACCCTATATTTTGTAAAGTGGTTATAAAAATTAGACATGAAATATCTGCAACACTGGTAAGCATAAGAAAAGGCCAACAAATTCTAGTTCTTATGAATATAATTATTTCCTTATTATTGTCCCATTAAACATTTCCCCTAATCCATTTCCATTTTCCTGCTAGTTCTGAGGCGTAGAGTTGGTAAAACTATTTACCAGTGTTAAGTCCAGTAAACACATAACAAAGGAAATAGAGGACAGAGCGGGGGAACCACTGAGCTTCAGATTGGAGGCAAAAATCCTGGTGAGGGGTACTGCAATTTATCTTCCCAGGACAAAATGAGGAAATGCATTTTCTCATCTTGTTTTTTTCTTCCCAGGGACATTGCTGCCAGGAACTGCCTCTTGACCTGTCCTGGCCCTGGAAGAGTGGCCAAGATTGGAGACTTTGGAATGGCCCGAGATATCTACAGGTGAGGAAAGACTAGCAGGCCTGTGTCCTCCAGCTCACCCCTCACTCCCAACAAGGGGACGCAGCTGCCTGTACCTTCCAACATCTCCTGGTACCTTGTCAACTCGCCACCCCATGTGTCATGAAGCTCCTTTTCCGTATGTGGGAAACTGATGAGTGCCCACACCTGAAGTTCTAAATCTAAAACCAGGCTGCCTCTGATAATTGCCACCAAGTTCCTGCTTAGGTTGTCTTCCTGGTTCCAACTCTCTAATCCTGCCGTGTTTTAAGACACAGAATAACTCGGATACTTGATGAGGAAAAAACTTTAAAGTGAACTTTATTTAACTTCCTCAACCCCTCTTCTCAATACTCAGGAATTCTAGGTGGCCATAGCACCCGTCACCCCAGACACCAGCACCCACAACTAACAGGGTGCTGGGCCCAGCTCATGGCTGTTTCACCCCCACCAGGAGACCTGGAAGTATAGTTCAGAACCTTCAGGCACTTAGCCCAGCTTCATTTTATTTACCCTGTCATATTCTCAATGCTACATTTAAAAGGTAATAATTTTTTTCAATTTTAAAAACTAGTACTACTATTATTGAACTTTATCTCACGCTTTTCCCAACTCCTGAGTGTTTTTTTTTCCTCATCAGTAACAACATTAACTTGCTACATCAGCAGAACAAGTCACTAAATACCCCTTCCCTAACTCACAGGTAGAGTGAGCAGGGATGGCATCCAGAGCTTTAACTCTTTGGAGAGTAAAGGCGATTGATCCAGACAGTCCTGAAGGCCTCAGTGAAAACTGGTAACTCTCCCTCTCCCGAGGGTTAGCATCACATTACAAGGGCAGCAGTGTGTGGAAGCCTGAGCTAGCACAGCCCTCCCTGGAGCCACCGGCCACTGCTCTCCATCAGTGAGAGCACGTTCCACTTTCCCGTCTTCTGCTACCTGGAGTCTCAGCACTCCTTCCCCTCCTTTCTCAGAATCCCCCGGACCACCTCCTGTTCCAAAGCATGACCTGATGAGCTCTCTGTTAACTGCCTTCACTTCTAACAGGCTTCAGTTCTAACCGCCCCTGCTCTAGGTTTCAACCACCCTGTTACCACATTCCCACAGTTCCCCACCTACCGTGCACAACTGCGTGAATCAGGACTGTTCTTCCAGGAGAGCTTGGTGGCCGCTCAGCTCCCCTAGTTTCCCTGCAGCTGACCCCTGCCTCGAGGACAATGCCTCAATTCTTTACATGCGCTGCTTGGTCCGTGAACATCCCTGCATTATTATATGTGTTGCTCTGTACTGCAATTGCATATATATCCATTTCTCCCACTAAGCAGTATCCTTGGGGGAGAGAGAGACCATGCCTTACTTATGTCCTCAGCAAGCACCGTGGCAGAGTACCTGATACATACTAAATATTCAGCACATGTTTGTTGAAGTAATTAAGTAAGCAGCTGGCAGGAAGCTGCCTCCCATTCCACACCCAGGCAGGAGCACACCAGGCTAGGCATGCAACGGGCTTAAAAGGTAGATGAGTTAATTTATTGGCTTTTGTAAGTGAGTTACATCAACGACATTACTAATAAATTAATTTGCCTACCTTTTAAGCCAAGTCAGCGCCCAGCTCTCTGGTTCTTTTGTCCGGGTATGTTATGGGAGGCGGCTTCTAGACAGCTGTCTAGATGATTCGTTGGAGGGCTGTAGTGAACTACATGCCGTGCGAATGCCACAAAGGATCCAGAAGGAGAAGATGCAAGCCCTGCTCCCAGCTCTACCATTAGAGAGCTTGAGTTACTGCAGATCATCAGAAACACTCTGCGCTTAGAGGTTGGGGTAATGTTACTCCTTGTGAGTTATAATAAACAAAGCCCAACAGGGAAAGCTAAACATCTGCTAGCCGGTATCCTCGTCACTGCGTAGATCTTTTCTTCCTTGCTCTTATGGGCTATTTTGTCTCCTATTAAATGACACCACAGTTCTTAACTAAATGATCTGTGCACCACTGCTCTCCTCCTGAATCACCGAGGACCCCTCATTAATTTCCATCCTTTAATGGGTAGGCTATATTGTTGCCACTTTCTCAAGTTTGCAGGCAGAGTTGTTGCCATCTCTGGATCCAAGATGGGTTTTCTTCTTGTTCCCCACAGAGCGAGCTACTACCGGAAGGGGGGCTGTGCAATGCTGCCAGTTAAGTGGATGCCCCCAGAGGCCTTCATGGAAGGAATATTCACTTCTAAAACAGACACGTGGTGAGTCTTTCTGCTAGCCTCCTCCAGGGATGACTGCAGCCTGGAGGCGGTGCTCTGGGCTCAAGTGATTGCACACTCTCAGCAGGGAGACTCTGGGCTAGTAGGGAGGGAGAAGAGAGGAATTAATACACCCCACGACAGTGGTTCTTGCAAGTTGGCGTATATCAGAATCCTCAGAAAGACTCGATGAAATGCAGATTACTAGACTGCTCCCTGGGCCTTCACCATTCAGAAGGTCTGGGGATTGGGCTGAGAATCTGCATTGCTAACAAGTTTCCAAGTGATGTTGACATTGCTGGCTGGGGACCACATGCTGAGAGCCACATGTAATTTTAAATGGCAGATTTAACCTATGCTTCCTTGCAAAGCACATACACACACAAACACACACACACACACAAACACACACACGTGCACAAGAGTAAAGAGAGGCTTTTTCATCACATTAAACCCCACAAGGACGAAGAAGACAACAGTGACGACACTTTGTAAACTGAAAGTTCAGGGGCTGGTGGTGCCTTACTGAGGAGACCAGAAAGTCATTCTCTAAACCAGCAGTTTGGGTCCAGAAGCAGACTCGTTCCCTCTGCCGGAGAGCCCCAGAAAGGCCTGGGAATGGAAAGTAAGGGTGCAGCAAACAGGAAAATGAGAGAGGTCTGTCTAAGAAGCTGCCTCTCACTCACCCCCTGAAGCTTGCTGACTGTCTTCTACACCAACACAAGACTCAAGTTCCCTCTCTGGAGAGATTCAACTGGTCTCTCCACGTCTTAGGGCCACAGATCTCACCAAGGGTGAGGTGCTCTACAATCAACAGGAATATTTTCTTCAAAGCCTGAACACATGAGGGTAATTGGCTGCCTTTGCCCCCTCAGCACCAAGCACACGGCAGCCAGGCAGAGGAAAGAGAAAACTCCAGAAAGAGCACAAACAACGGGGCCTCCTAGTACAGCAGGCGGGATGACGCCCACCCAAAGTGTGGGGGGCTAATCCCATAAGCCTGGAATGGTTACCTTAAAAGAAGAAAGGGGTTTGCAGAGGGTCTGAGGGTGGCACAGTCATCCTGGATTGTCTGGGTGGTCCTTAGATGCCACCACACAGAAGAGGAGGAGACAGTGTGGCCAACAGCAGAGACAGGACGATGGCAGACCCAGGTCAAGGAGCTCCAGCAGCCACCAGCAAGTGGAAGCAGCGAGTCCCAGATTCCACCAGTGAGCGGAAGCAGCAAGATCCAGATTCTCCTCCCAGACCCAGAGGCAGCAAGACCCAGATTCTCCTCCCAGACCCAGAGGCAGCAAGACCCTGATTCTCCTCCCAGGCCCGGAGGCAGCACAGCCCTACTGACTCCTGGACTTCTGCCCAGTGCTACCGGCTCCTAGTGTCCGACTTTCAGAACTGTGAGAGAATGAACTGGCATTGCTTTAAGCCACTAACCATGTGGTGATTTTTCACAGCAGTCCCTGAAGACTAACATGCCCAGTGAAACGGCCAAGCAGGTGCCCAGCAGCTGATGAGCTTCACTCACTTTCCAGTTGACCGGCTCACACTTGTAATCCTACCACTCTGGTAGGTCGAGGTGGGTGGGTCACTGGAGCTCAAGAGCTTGAGACCACCCTGAACAAAAGCGAGACCCCATCTCTACTAAAAATAGAAAAATCCAGGCATGGTGCAGGCACCTGTAGTCCCAGCTACTTGGGAGGCTGAGACAGGAGCATCACTTGAGCCCAAGAGTTTGAAGCTGCTGGGAGCTATGATGCCACAGCACTTTACCAAGGGCAACAAAGTGAGACTCTTGTCTCAAATAAAAGAACTTTCCAACAGTTTCTTAATTCTTAATGTCCCAGAATTAAAATATGAACAGACAGCCAAGAATCAACACGTGAGGAAAGATTCTAATCTGAGAAAACCACGCTTTGGAATTGGGAGAAGAAAAATGTAGAAAACTTTTTTTAAAAACTATCATATCCTCAGGAAGATAAGAAAACATACTGCAACCATTAACAGAGGATAAAAGGTTACTTAAAAAAAAAAGAGGGAAATACGGAAATAAAAATATGATAGTAGCCCTGCGGACAGAGAGCAGGCCTCGTTAAAGCCTCTGTGGGCTGCAGGGAGCATCATCCTTCCAAAGAGTCCGGGGCAGAGGGGGAGGGAAGAGAAACCTCTCAGTAGGGAGACCCGACAAGCACAGCCTCAGCCAGGTGACAGAGGTCAATGTCAACAGTGGTAAGTCATGCTGACAGTGTGCACCCTTGGTCTGGTGTGATGAAAATGGCACTTGACCTCTGTGGTCTTCCTCCTCAAGCCTCATAACCCCACTCTAATCATGAAAAAAAGCCAGACAAATCCCAGTGGATGTTTTATAAAATCTTGGACCAGTACCCCTCAAACCTGTCAAAATCATAAAGAACAAGGAATGTCTGAGAATTGTCACCATTAAAAGGAGCCTAAGGAAACATCATGTACTAATAGAATTCTGGAAGAGAAAAAGGAGATTCAGTAAAAACGAAGGAAATCTGAATAGAGTATGAGTTTTAGTCAAAAATGTCCTAATCATGGTTCGTTAATTGTAACAAATGTATCAAACAATGTGATAGAGTTCCCGGTGACATGGGAATCGCTCTATTCACAGTGTCTTCAAACGTTGAACTGTTCTAAAACTACATAGTTTATTTTTAAAAATATATAACAGAACTGTAAAAATAACAGAAAGTTTGGAATATGGAGCTAAATAATTCTAGAAAATAAAATAACTAAAAAGAGATGGGATACTTACAAAAGAAAAGATAAGAAGATTAAGAGGGTCAGACCAATAGATCCAAATAGCTGACAAAATAGGATTACCAGAAAGATCAAACAAATAACTCGGGACTTCCCAGGACAGGAGATAAATTTCCAGAATGAAAGCAATCCCCAAGTGCCAAGCACCATGGATAAAAAGAGCCCCACCGGAGCCTATTATCATGAGATTTCAGAGCAACGGTGATTGATTGTGCAAGCTCCCAGAGGAAAAAATATAATAATTAAAAGTGGAAGAAAAGTGACCAAAAGACAAGGAATGCAAAAGGCATCAAATATCTTGTCAGCAGGATAGGAAACACAGGAAGACAATGAATGAACGTTCTCCTCGTTCTAGAAGCCGGACGTTGAGATCATTATAAGACAGCATAGCCACAGCTGCTCACAACCTCCTTCGGACTCTTGTTGGATAAGGAGTCTGTGTTGTTTGCAAGCCAGCATTTGGCTTACCTAGCCCAGTGGTTCTCCAAGTGTGGTGCGGAGATCAGCAGCAGCACCACCGCCTGGGAACTAGGTGGAAAGGCAAATTCTCAGCACCCACTTCCCGGCCTAATGAAACAGAAACACTCAGGGCGGGGCCCAGCAGTGTGGGCTTTAATTTAACAAGCCAGCCAGATGATTCTGATGTGCACCAAAGTGAGAGCACCAGCACCCTATCTATGGAGAGACAGAGAATAATTTAAGTAATTACGTGATCGCCCTGAATGCATGCATAGTGTGTGACCCAAAATTCTATTTTAAGTGTCTACATTAAAGAGAGGTTGCCACAAATAGACTTGGGCAAGGATGTTCATCTGCAACATTGTTTATAGCACAGAAAAAGCAAAAACAACCTAGCCATCCCTCAAGTAGGGGATGAAAACATAAACAGTGGCTTACTTACGTGTAGGAAAACCATTCGGCAGTGCCAAGGAAAAGCTACAGATACCGACAGGGATAAATCTGAAAAGCAATGTTTAGTGGGGGAAAAAGCAAGCTGCAAAAAGGAGTAGGATATCATTTGTGTATAACTTTACAAAACAAAAAATGAGCCTGTAATATAAAGTCTTTACTGTTTGTGCTTTTACACGTTGCTTTAAAATGGGATAACCTTCAGGGAAGGATATATACCAACTTCAGTGGAGGGGAGGGAAGGAGGGCTGGGCGGGACTCACCTGTCTCTGTTTTATTTCTTCAAAAAGAGAGAACTGACACACACAAAAGGCAAAATATGAACACTCAGACACACGTAGATATCTATTATAATTACTTGCACTCCAAGTTTAGATTGTTTCGGAAATAAGGTGCTTAAGCAAATCAATCCTGTGACTTCAGATACTGGTAAGTGCTGAGACAATAAAGCTGAAACAGAAGCTGTTCTAGCAAAGGTAGTGGGGGAGGCTCCCTGGAGGAGGTGACTCCAATACTGGAAAGACAAGCACACCATGGGAGGATCTGGGCACATAGAGCCTGAGACCACAACAAGCCTGGCTTGTTGAGGATTAGTGGAGAGTGAAAACAAGTCTTCAGGCCAGAGCTGAGGGAGCCAGTGGTGGTTGGGGTGGAAGCATCAGGCCTGGTAAGAGCGAGGAGGGCCTCAGAACTCACATGGGGAAATGTGGATTTTGTTTTAACACAGTGGGTGGCAGGGAAGGATGTGAAGCAGGAAGATGTGATCTTTGTTTTTTTAAAAATCCCTCTGGCTGCTGATGGAAATAGACTAGAGGTGGGTAAGGAAGGTGAGAGGGGTGTGGCTTGGCGGTGGCGGCGGAGGCAGTGCAAAATGGTCAGAGTCAAGATCTACCTGGACAGGTTCAAACCCAGCCCCAGCCAAAAACAACTGCAAAAAGACAAAAATAACAAAATAACATAATAAAAATATTTTGGGCGGCGCCTGTGGCTCAAGGAGTACAGTGCCGGCCCCATATGCCAGAGGTGGTAGGTTCAAACCTGGCCCCTGCCAAAAACTGGAAAAAAAAAATCTACCTGGATAGCAGAGTCACAGGACTGCCAGCTACTGGCTGCAGAGGGCGTGGGCAGGTGTGTGAGAAGGTAGACTCAAGGAAGACTCCCAAATCTGGGGCTCGAGCAAATGGGGGAGTGGAGGTGTCACTGAGCTGGGAAAGAAAAAAGGAGATGGTTTGGGTGCAGAGAGAGGCCTGCCTGGAGAATGTTAAGTTTGAGTTGCCTGTTAAAACAGGCCAGTGGTGATGATGGGTGGACATCTGACACGTGAACCTGAAGCTCAGAGAATTGCCACAGACCATGGAAGCAACCTGCTGGCTGGGCATTTAAGGATAGTACAGTAATTTCTGGCTCCCATTTTTCCTAAGAACACACCCTACCCTCAGCCTCTACCACACCTAGAGACAATCTCCTACCTTCAGGTTACAATTAAAGGAAATTAAAACTTAGCTTTTAAAGATTGCTATAGCACAGTTCATGATCTTAAAAATGTTTTCATCATTGATTCAAATATTTAAAATAGTTTCATCAGCAGTAACTTGTGCTATTGCTATAATTTCAGACAGAGCAAGTCTAATACCTAGAGAGAAGGAGTGCCATTTTTTAGTATTTCTTTGTATTTGCTCTTGAATGCTTTGATGTAAAGCTTTGTGCCTTGTTGTTCCTATTGAGGGCAGGCTTATGGGTGAACCATCTAGCATACAAAATACAGATTTTTCCTTATCTGTAGGGTTTCTAGATTAAATACTAATGGCCAGTTAAAACTGAATTTCATATGCACAGCAAACAGCTTTTTAGGTTAAGTATAGCCCATACAATATTTAGGATACACTTACACTTAAAAAATTATTTGTTATTTACCGAGAATTCAAAATTTAACTGGGTGTCATGTATTGTTATTTGCAAAGATGACAACCCTACTTAACTTGGAACTGTCATAGTTCTATAACCAATATTACTTCTTGTTCCCTTAATGCTAAGCTAAGTAAATAAGTGTCCACTTGCAATCTACATTCTAGTTCTCTCAAAGGATACTATGATCTATATTTATTAATTGACAAGCAGAAAACATATAGCTGTAATTCTGGTCTTGCTACCAGTTTCCTGATTGTTTTGTTTTGCCTTGGAGGGCAGAATGACCACCAGAGAGGACAAATATATGTGCCAGGCAACTTGTAGGCAGCAGAATCAAAAGATCTAATAACGTGTTCCAGTCTATCTCAGGTTAGTTGTATAACAACCTCTGCTTCAGCCTTCTCACCTGAAAAGTATGGAGAATATCCTTGCCCATTCTTTTTACATAAGGCTTTGAAATTTCATCAAGATGATAACAATAAAAGCATTTCATGTCTCTTAGAAGATAGAACTAAAGTTCTCTATAATTTTTGTGGTAATATTTATTAACATCAGAAAACTGTTAATACAACCAGATACTAAAACAAAGATAGGATTTTCTTATCAAAAAGCTAATAATTAAATTAAGGGCTTAAAATTTAATTAAACTATCAAAGAAAATTATTTTGGAAAATGATAAAAAATCATCCTAGGGCAGTGCCCATGGCTCAAAGGAGTAGGGTGCCGGCCCCATATGCTGGAGGTGGTGGGTTCAAACCCAGCCCTGGCCAAAAACTGCAAGAAAATAATAATAATAAATTAAAAATCACCTTAAAGTTCATTTAAAGCAAATTACAAATGAGAAATTAAATATTTCTAAAAAGAGAGAAATAAGAGAAAACTTGCCTATCAGATATTAAAACTAATACACAAAAAGTAAAACAGAATTATATCAATGCAAGAGGCAAACAGACAGATGAATAGACAGCCCTGAAACAGTTTCTGGTTGTAATCACAAGTCAATAGATAAAGGGAAAATTATTTTCTGAATAGTAAAGAGTAGTTGTTGGAAAAACAAATCAATTTAGATCCTTATCTCACACCATATACCAAGTTAAATTCTAACTGGATTTGAGAAAATAGAAAAACACAACTAGAAGAAACAGCAATATTTATCTAATCTTTGATAAAAGGAAGGATTGTACAACTATAAAATAAATGGAGGAAATAACAAATTTTTTTTAAAAATAGATTTGACTGGGCTTGTTGCCTGTAGCTCAGCCACTGGGGTACAAGCCACATGCACCAGAGCTAGTGAGTTAGAACCTGGCCCGGGCCCGACAAACAGCAATGACAGCTACAACCAGAAACTAGCCAAGCATTATGGTGGGTGCCTGTAGTCCCAGCTACTTGAGAGGCTGAGGCAAGAGAATTGCTTAAGCCCAAGAGTTTGAGATTGCTGTGAGCTGTGATGCCACAGCACTCTACTGAGGACAACAAAGTGAGACTCTGTCTCAAAAAAAAAAAAAAAAGTAGATCTGACTACTTAAAAATAAAAACTCATGGCATGCTAAAAAGTAAGATTAGAAAGTAACTAATAGGAGTATTCTAATTTTTGATAAAAAGGTTAACATCTCTTTATATAAAAAATATCTACAAATCAAAAAGAAAATTGATAGATACCAAAACAATTTGCCCCAGCAGATCAAAATGGGCAAAAGATAGAAACAGATCATTCAGAAGAGGAAAAAAATGAAGAGAATTAATAAATACATACTTAGGAAAACATTGAACCATTTGAATGTCAACAAACATAAGTATAATTCTAATCAATAAGCATATTTTAGAATATTCCACCTTTTGCCTTAAAATCAGCAAAAGTTGTCATTATTAATAAGAATACTCCATGCTGGTGAGGGTGTCTACTGTACTCTTGCACAATGTTGGTAGACGAACAGTGGAACATGTTGGAAATCGAATCAACAACATATATTGACAATTTTTCAAGGTTCACATTCTTTTGATCTAGTTATTTTACTAGAATTATCCTACATTGTACTAAACTATCGTCATCTAGTAATTCAGACAATTTATCCTGAGAAAAATTCTCCTTTTAAAAACCACATAAAGATGTTCATCATAGTATTTTAAATATTTTGAAAATTGAAATCAATGTGGAAATGATAAGACAAATTATGGCAAAACTACTCAATGGAATGTTTTATATAGCCTTTTCAAATCCTATTTATAAGTTGTATTAGCATGGAAAATGTTTATAATGAAATGTGCAAAAATACGAAGGTTCAAAATTACACATTGACTATCATTGCGACTAAGTAAAAAAAATCTAAGCACAGATACTTGACTGAAACAAAACATAACAGTGGTTGTCTTTTAGTGGAGCACCACATGTGATTCTTTCTCTTTTTATTATTCTGTATCTTAAGAATATCATGGAAAAAGTTATAATGAAAACAAGATTAAAATTTTACATCTGTGTGTGCGTGTGTGGGTGTGCGTCCATATCCATGTGCCTGTCTTCTGTCCTGTGCCCAGGTCCTTTGGAGTGCTGCTATGGGAAATATTTTCTCTTGGATATATGCCATACCCTAGCAAAAGCAACCAGGAAGTTCTGGAGTTCGTCACCAGTGGAGGACGGATGGACCCACCTAAGAACTGCCCTGGGCCTGTGTACGACTCTTTTAGGAACATTTCTAGTGGTTACTAAGCACAGTTTTTCTTTCTAAAAATTATCTGGAGCCACACATGCTTCTTTAAGATGAGAGAGCAGATGGTTTTCCTCATTCAATGTGCCCCGAGATAGGAGATGTATCTGTGACTTCAACGAGATAGGTCAGTCTTCCAGCCCTTCAAAAGCAATAATGCCAACCCAGACAAAGAAATACGCTGTCCAGATCAAGGCCATGGACTCTCCAGGTCCATAGCTTTCAAGCCCCTCCTAGGAATCTGTGTCCCCGACTCAACCCTGGTACCCCACACCGTATGTCTGAGTCTCCTTTAAAGATCACCATTCCCTGGGCTTTCTGCTGCTCTTTGTGGCTTCCCTCATCTCCTTCCCACAAGCAAAGTATATGGGAAGCAGAATTAGAATATTCTGTCCCAGAAGTGGCTTGAATTTGGAATTGAAATGAGAGGAAGTCCAGGATGTGTGTGTCCAGGAGCTTTGGTACCCAGGGGCTATCCCTTGGTCAATCAGCAGGGGGCAGCATTTGCTAAACACATGGGACCTAGATGAGTCGCCCCCCCCCCACCAGAGATTTTGTATTTGTGCCAACTCTGGCCCCATTTAGGAAAATGCTGGGAGAAATTTATTTTTCATCCTGTGCTGCTCTTGGTTTTAATTAATGTGCTTATTATTTTAGATACCGGATAATGACTCAGTGCTGGCAACATCAGCCTGAAGACAGACCCAATTTTGCCATAATTTTGGAGAGAATTGAATACTGTACCCAGGTACCCATATTTTTCTCCCCTTGCCCAACATATATTCTATATGTAAAAGCCTTAAAAATGTCAAATTTGAGATAAATTAAACCATTCAGAAAATAAGAGTTATAAGAATTAATATTAATTATCTATAAGATGGAAGGACTGATGTCTTAGTTTTTCCATCTTTTAAAAGAAATACTATTAACGTCCACGTTCTTCATCAACATGTAACACAATGCTAGACATTCAGCAGTATCAAGGAATCAATTCAATTCACAAGTATTAACTAAGTCCTTATTGGGCTCCTAATGTTCTCTCAAACAAAATTAAAGCTTCAGAGAAGTATGGAATACACTGGCTCTCAAATATTTTATTGCTTGACTGGAAAAATAACCTGTGAGATAATGGGCAAGATATAATTATTAAATTATTAAATTATATGCCTGGGGAGATTAAGAGAATGGAGATTCAAAGTAATCTGGAGACATTCTAACATCATCGATAGCATTTGTGTAGCATTTACACTACACAAAGCACTTTTTTGTATTCCATTTTATCCTTATAGAGGAACATAAAGTATCCCCATTTGACAGATGAGGAGTTAAGGCTTGGAGAGGATGCCCAGGTCAGACACTTTTTCAGCAATCCTGTGGATACAGATCCCTCTCCCATTTCCTTCAATAATGACTAAATTGTTACTTCTTTCCCTGATTTATGACTATGCCTTCCCCCTCGTAGAAAGGGAGAATGCCTCCGCTTCCTCCCTGTCTCTGATACAAACCTTGCTGCACCTACAGCCATTCTCATCACTTTCCTCCCCCCATTCCTCCTCCTCCTCCAGCCTGGCCTTTCTCCCTGCCCAGTTCCCTGCTCAGGGACTCTGCTCTTTCAGGTCACTTCCTCTCTTCCCTTCTCTGCTTTCTTTCCCTCTCTCTCGCCTCTCATTCTGCCAGGGTAGCTAATTCTGAGAATATTTTACAAGAGTCAAGCAATGACCCGCTGCCTCTTTAAATGCCTTCCTCTTAACTGTGACAAAGGATAGACAGAGTTCCCAAACTGCAGTCATTTCCTGGCCCTGCTATTCCATCCTCATGGCCTTTCAGCTAAGACAGGTAAAAGTGGCATTTTAATCTAGCCAGATTCACTTATCAAGTTGTTGGGGGTCCTTGGAGAGAATTTTGTTTAATGACATTCTAGGTTATTACGTTGCACTGGGAATGGAAAACATCAACATATATATTTATAGTACTTCTTTAGAGTACTTTTCCCCAAATATATAATATTCCTCTTTAAAATGGGCAGTTTCACACAGAATATTTTAAATGACTCATTATGGAAATTAATAATAGGGAGGGAAGTGGAGAATTTTTAGAAGTCAGAAGGTAGTTATTTTTTATTTTTAAACGCTTTTACGGATGTGCTTTCCTGCTATACTCAAGTAATAGAGGTTTTTCCCCAATTTTCACAAAATATGAGTGAATTAAATTTCACCAAATTTAAGTTTTCTTCTATAATTTTAGTTTTCTTCTTTAATTTTTCTTAAACCTCTGGCAACTGCTTCTGCTTTTGTATGCTTATAATCAATAACTACAAAAAAAGAAAAAAGGTCTGGCACAGTTGTTTCTGTAAATGCCTTTCCTTGTAGCACTTCAGCATTCCCTGGGTCACACAAAAGGCCCCTCACATCCAAACTAAAGAGCCCCTGCATGGTGAGATCTGCACATGTGATGATATAACACAGAAACGGTTATCATCAAGGGTCACCTGCTGAATATGAGGGAACAGGAGGCCGCTAGAAGAGAACGGATAAACCCCAAAGCCAGCAAGTGCCTTTCTCCCCACCAAACACTTGAAGTCAAACGAATAGGATTATTTTTTTAAGTTGGAAAGATTTTATTGGGAATAGATTGGAATAAAAAAAGATAATTTTAAGGTTTTTTGAAAAAACAGTAATCTGTAAACTTTGGCCTGAAGTCTCCTTTGCAAAGCCTCTCCTGGTCCCACTCCTGTCGCAGGCCATGGTGCTTCCCAGCACCCTCCCCGCACCTGCGCAGCTGCCAGCCCAGCGCTGGACCTCCAAGGGTGACGCCCATCCATTTTTTATGCCCCAGTGCCTGTCAGTAAATATATTCTCAACAAATATTGAATGGTTTCCTCATCCGTAAAACATAGATGAGATCATCTCTCTCATCTAAAGATGAGTATTTTCCAGATTCAACATTTTTTGCCTGTGATCCAAAGTTTTGTTTTGTTTTGTTTTGTTCCCAATTTCAACAGATATTACATTGGAACTCTAGCCTCGAGATAGTCTCCAAGATAGTCTCCAAGTTCAAGTTGCACTTCAGGGTTTCCTTTAACAGCCACTTTTCTTCACCCTCCAACACATGTATGGGATTACAATAAAACCCTCCTCCTTAGACATAGGTTGGCAGCTGTAAGTTGATCATTCAGACGGAATTCTTCCCAAGGGACTTTAAGATGGAATTTTTCTATGTTGAAGCAGAACCCACAAATAACACAGATAATGCAGAGAATTCTCAACACAAAATGCCAGGGCCTGTCAAATAGATGGGACTCTAAAGAAGACAAAAAGCACCCCAAATGGCACCTCGGAGTGTGCCCCCAAAGTCCTACAGGGCTGGAAGGTAAACTCCTTCCAAACAGCGGCCTGGTCCTCCAACTCCCTGAGAATGGCAAGCGAGCTCCAGATTCAGACCAGGTTCCCTAGTTCCACTCAACCTTGTGACTTCCAACCAAAAAGGTGCCTCAAAACAAAACCAAGAGGAAAGTCATAACCCCCCTCCCCCCCTGCCCTATGGATGGAATCACAGTCTCAGTGTGCACCCCAGGAACTTGCCCCCCAAAAGTTCTGGGGTCCTGACCCTTTCCAAACTCATTTCCTTTTCCTCAACTCAGTTCAGGTTTCAGGGAGCTTCATCCGCTTCAAGGTGACAGAGATGGGAGTTCCCTGGAGCTAAACTATGCCCCCCGCAGCTGCTGGGACCATCCCTACTCTGTCACCCCGAAAAGAAGCTGCTCCTTCCAGGGCAGACCCCGGGCTCTGACCCGGCTGCTCCCCACTGCCTCAACGGGTGCCATTCCACTGCGAGGCCCGTGAGCCCACCCAGGGACACCAAAATCTGTCTCCGCAAGTTCAGTACTTGTTCTCACGGCCTCATCAGGGAAAAAAAAAAAAAAAACAAACAAAGAAAAACAAGAACAAGTGGTGGCTTTTGAGAAAAAGAAAAGAGAAATGTATTACTTTGCCAGCAGAGGAGGAAATATAAGTGGCAGGTTGTTCATTTCAAAATGCCAGTTTTCCTCTGTGATCCAAAGTCTTTAACCGCTTCATTTCTCCTGCCGCAGGACCCAGACGTGATCAACACCGCTTTGCCGGTGGAGTACGGGCCACTTATAGAAGAGGAAGAGAAAGTGCCCATGCGGCCCAAGGACCCCGAGGGGATCCCTCCTCTGCTGGTGTCCCCGCAGCAGGCCAAGCGCGGGGACGAGGAGCGCCGTCCAGCCGCGCCGCCGCCTCCGCCCGCCTCTGCGTCCGGCAAAGCTGGGAGGAAACCCCCGACGGCAGAGGGGTCGGCGCGGGGGGCCAGGGCGCCGGCCGCCGAGGGCGGGTGCGTCAACATGGCCTTCTCCCAGTCCAACCCGCCGACCGAGCTGCACAAGGTCCACGGATCCAGGAACAAACCCACCAGCTTGTGGAACCCAACTTACGGCTCGTGGTTTACAGAGAAACCTGCCAAAAAGAACAACCCTCTGGCAAAGAAGGAGCCACAGGAGAGGGGAAGCCTGGGGCGCGAGGGCGGCTGTACTGTCCCGCCTAGTGTCGCGGCGACTGGGAGGCTCCCGGGGGCCTCCCTGCTCCTGGAGCCGTCGGCGCTGACTGCCAACATGAAGGACGTACCCCTGTTCAGGCTCCGTCACTTCCCTTGTGGGAACGTCAACTACGGCTACCAGCAACAAGGCTTACCGTTAGAGGCCACCACTGCCCCTGGCACTGGTCATTATGAGGACACCATTCTGAAAAGCAAGAATAGTGTGACCCAGCCTGGGCCGTGATTCTCCTGGGGAGCCCTCCACCCGGCAGAAGGGAGAGGCTCGGTTCCCTGGTAAATCAGAGACCAAATGTCATTTTTCATCTTGTGCCAACTTGTTTTGAAGTGCCACATGAAACGCTGTATTTTCAAAATGCTTTAGAAAGGTTTTGAGCATGGATTCATCCTATTCTTTCAAAAGAGAAAATATCATTAAAAAACGAGAGATGAATGAGGCCCAGATGTGGTGGCAGGAGGTTTTTATGCATGGCTGTTGTATACTTCCTTACGCTGCTTTCAAATTGTGTGTGCTCTGCTTCAATGTAGTCAGAATTAGGTGCTTCTGTGTTTCATAGTTGGAGTCATAGATGTTTCCTGGCCTTGTTGATGTGGACATGAGCCATTCTTTGGAGGGGAGAGGGAACAGAAATAAAGGAGTTACCTGTAATGATTCAGCATGGGGAAAGACATTCTTTACTTGACAAAAATAAATCATAGACAACGAACTGAAATGTCACTGTAGATGACGGTTAGATGCTCTTAATAGTGCTGATTCATCACCGATGGTTAAAAAAAAAA